AAAGAAAAGAAGAGGCTCGTGTAGATTAATTTACGGTCATAAAATGCCTCGAGACGTAAAAACAAACGTAATGTTCGGGAACGGAAGTACTTGCAAAAGCACCGCGAGGTGGCGCCTAAGAATCCAGCGAATGAGTGTGTCTTTTGCAAATGATGATAATGAAACGCGCAATATACAAAACAATCGAGGTAGAAAAATTGCAAGTTAAAAATATAAGAAAAAAATCTCCACAATGGCCACTTTGTCAGCTGCGCCTTTGTTTACAGCGCCACCTGTGGCGCGTGACGATAACATTCCTCCTCCTGCTCTCTTAATCGCTACCTTTGTGCTGCTTTGTCCGCTCAATAAGGCGTAAAGACTGTTAATACTCCGTTGTTGCGCTGGTTTCCCTAGCAACCGTGCCTTGCAGGAAGAGGAAAATGTTTCGTTCTGACTCGAGTTGAGCAAACACCATTCGCGTCATCGCGTGCCGAAATCGGTCTCGTTTTTCCGCGAGGCGGTAGCGGCGCGCTTGAGTGCCTCACCGGCTCGCTTTCTTCCCGCGGCGCATGTAGCCGTATTTTTAGAGACTAATTGCTCCGCTGCTGGCGTGAAAGCGCGGGCCTATAACGCAAGGCGGCCTTGAGCTTTCGCCTCAACACCTCTACACAGCCGGGCCGTGGCGTCCGTGTACGTGATAGCTAAGCACCGATCCTGATTGCTTTCGCATCTCTTCTGGCAGCAGCTTTGTCCCCGCGGCTGCCAGTACCAAATGTGCTTTCAGTGCTTTGTAGGTCGTGACTAGTGATGTCGCGAACTTTTCTCGAGCCTGGTTCGCCGAACTTCCGGCAAGTTTCGACGATGTTCGACTCTTGAACGGTAAAGGCCCTCTGAACGAACTCATTTAAAGAAATCGGCACTTCGACTCGCAATTTCGACTTTGCGCGTGCCCATCGGCGCGTGCTAGTTTGCCGATTCTTTAACTTAGGGTCATTTGCTGTTCAAAGGGTCGAAGGTTCGGCTAGTCTGTGGAACGTCAGACAAAACCGGGGTTGTAAAACAGCGGTATTACCCAACTTCCAAAAGAATGTCAAATTTGGGGTGAAAGAAATATGCGGTATAGTTTATTTTATATTTTACAAAAATGATCACCGGCGTTTCGCGCAATGTAAAACGATATAAAGGACGTCAGCTTGTTCCGCGGATTCGAACAATAGTCGAACCTCGATCGAACTTTCGTCGAACCTCCGCAGCTCGGCGACATCCCTGTGTATACGTCGTGACGTCTTCGTCCCCCCGTCCAAGCGCCGAAAATAAAAGTAATGGCCGGTAATTACCCCCACTGTGTGCGCGCAGCCGATGGAGTCACGACATGATCGATCCTGCGATAATTACTTGTGTAACTTTCTACTCGGGGGGGTTTCAGGTACGGATATAGTTGTTTCTAGGGTGCCTAGTGTACAGAGAGTTCCCAACCGCTCGCTTGAAGTCTCGTGCGCGAGAATTCGCGACGCATGCGCACTTGCGACCAGTCATCGCAGGAGGCGTCCGCCATTACATTGCGAGTGCTGTCCGTGGCTCGAGTTGGCCCCTCTCTTACATATAGAGGCTCTCTAGAAGTGGCCCGCGGAAAGCGCACAGCGCCGTCGCAGAAGCAAGCGGAAGGCTATTTTCTCCGGAGTGATGATTACGCGGACACGACTGCGCGATTCGAGTGCCGCCACGTAAGTCCATTGTGACAACGACACACTTTGCTCGTCGTTAGGGCGCGCATGGGCGGAGCCGCCGTCTTTTGTGCTGTCTGCCATTTCGGCACTTTCCGAGTTCGCTTACGAGAGTTTAAAGGTTTTGATGGGATGTTTTCAAGGTCTGTTTCTTGGATCTACCGTCATGTTTATAGTCGGCGTCGGGAATGTCGCAAGTTTACGGAAAATCACGTTTTTTTAGCGTCGGGCGCCTTAAAAAAGAAATGCGTAAGAAAAAAAAAACAATAAAACTATATTCTAAGGTTTGGCAAATATAGGCAGCGAAGTGATATGGGTGCGCATGGCCTATCGTTGAGACAAATGAGATGACTGTTACTTAACGTCTCCTGACTTTCGACAAATGATCGCTAACTCTCTCTATATATATATACATATCTGTTTTGTTTTTTCTCGTAAAGTCAAAATACTGTAAAACCCTTTATTTTCGCGGCCGCTATTTTTCGCGAATCGGTTACAGATGACATAATCGCGACCACTAAATTTCGCGAATTCCAGACGCCTGCATTGAAAATCTCAAGGACCGAAATTTTCGCGCGCCCTTAAATTTCCCGAATTCTTCAATTCGTGAAATTCGCGAAAATTGAGGGCTCGCGAACATTAAGGGTTCCTCGGAATGTGAGTGACACTCACGTCACAAACCTGCAAGGGAAAAAAATTATTAAGCAGCATTATTTTGCATAAGTACAACGTGTCACCAAAAAAAAAAAAAAAAAAAAATTTTTTTTTTTTTTTTAATTGAAAAAGGCATTGCCGAACTCTCATTCTCCGCCCAAAGGTAGCGCAAGAGGTCACAACCAGATGCCAAAGTTTCAGCCCGATCTGATACCTTATTCAAAAGTTATAAGTGATTTTCTGAAAATTTCAGTGGAAAAATGTAGCCCATTTTTGCCCGTTTTCGGTTTCTGGTGTTGTAGAGCCCCATGTATTCGAAAACTCCGTCGGCCGCCATTTTCCCATTGAAATTTTCGGGAAATCACTTATAACTTTTGAACAAGGTATGGGATCGGGATGAAACTTTGGCATCTGGTTGTGACCTCTAGCGCTACCTTTGGGCGGAGAATGAGCGTTCGGCGATGCTTAATTTATTTGTGCGGAAAAAAAAAACAACAACAAAAAACTTGTACATTTTTTTGGGGGGTCACACCTTGTAGATCTTGCATTTTGCAGCTCAGCCTAGCCACTTGCGAAATTTACTGCGACGTACTCCGTGTTCTTGGCGTTGACGTCGCATGATTCATTCTTTACTGGCTCCGGACTACAATTTCCCCGTGTCTGAGGAAAATACGTAGACGAGCGGGGCTTTGGACGTCCGTCCGCTCGTGAGCGGGATTTTAGCTTTCTTTGCTGCGGAAAAAGTGTGGAAATATACGTTTCTTTTTTAATCCTTCCTCGGGAAGTTCCCTGATTATATTCCACGGGGTTCAGGGGCACAGAAATATATCATGAGGGAAACATGAAAAAAAAGATGATGAGCTTTCGAGTGCAGCCAGGGTGTCGGGTCCCTCGGCCTCGCCTTGCGATTATTTTGGTGAACCTTGCGACTCACTGATGTACGAATTCAACCGTGTGACCAACAACTTGCGTTGCAGCACCGAGCAGTGAGCAAAACTGTATAGAAGAATCACTCCTATAGATAACATTTCCTTAAAACACCCAAGAAACTGTAAACTTACACTAGCTCGCCTTCGCGCGCCATCACTGTGTAAACACCTATGGATATCCCGGACGACTTCATCCGTTCTTGAAGAGGTGTCACAGTGTATGTTCGGTAAAATTGTTCCCTCAGCTCGGGGAAAGACAGACGCATTAGCTTCATAAACAGCGAGGTGCAGAACACGAATATGCCTACTTAAACCTGCATCTCGTGTGTCGCCTGTCGACGCTTCCCCGGCTTCTAATCAGCGCATGCGATCGGGACTGGTAACAGATTTAAATGCGTACATCTAAATGACATGGTCGCCTTTTATCCTCCGCAAGTGTGATTGCTTGGTGTTGGCCCACGCTATCATTCTCCGTTGACGCCCTGGCAATAGGGAAAGGAAACGCTCCCAAAGTGCCGACGACGTTGTACCCGATACCATGTATCGGGTACAACGATGGCCTACAAAGTGAGTCGATTTGTATCCAAAATAATTGCGACGGTAATAGATGATAGCCTTAATTTTGTCTCTGGGCTCGTGGCAGGCGGGGTGCTTGCCTGTGTCGTCACGATAGTTTTGGTAGTCGTATCGCCCCACGTACGCATTGCCTGTTTCGTTTTATTTCGAAATGATTAGCCATGTCGGAGAGGCTCTTAGCTCACTCCCTTTCGTACACAGATGCATGCAAACAAAGGTGCAAACAAACGCGCACTCGGATCGACACACACCTTTTTTTCTGTTGTAGATGAAAACATTGACGGCTGGTAGAATTTTACTGGTATTTACCTGCCGCATTTGGGTGTTTCGTAAGATTATTATCCTTCGAATTCGGTGGTGTTTTTTCGCTCTTCAATTTTTACCACAAATTTGTCTGTTTGTTTTTCTGGGAAAAAAGAAAAGGGGGGGATTTTGTGTATTTTCGGTATTTGACAAAAAGTCGGCGCTTGTTGGGGAATATGGTGAGGGACTGCCGTGGATTGCCCAACCTCCATGAAACGTGAGCCTGACCCGATTACTTGGAAAACGTCCTTGTGCTGTTAATGATAAAAAAAATAAAGATAAAAAAAATAAAAGCATCATTTTCGCGATCAGTTCTGTGCGGCCCGGCCCGTGTTTCGGGTCAACGCAAAAAAAAAAAAAAAAAAAAATGCTTTGCAAAAATGTTTTTTTTTCGCGAAGCTTGGGGTCTTCTTTTATTAATGACAGATGCAATTAGCGGTCCTTCAATGTTACCTCTTTTTTTTTTTTTTTTAACTAGCTAGATTTAGAGGGTTACTTTTCGGGTTTTTTTTTCTGCATATGCCGAAAACATGCAGCCTTGAGTATAACATCCTTCAGAACTGGTGGTGGTTGGCTTTGCCATTAGTCCCGAGGGCTACTGGTTCTCATCCACGTACTTCTAAACTCTGAAGTCTATAGAAGCGCGTGAAAGCAGTCTAAAACTTCGAGCCATAGAGTCTGGACTTCTGCAGAGGTGTACTTTCATCTCTTTTTTCTTTTCTTTTTTAGTTATTATCATTGCTGTTTTGGAAGTTGTGAGTGTACCGCTTGCTGTTCACTCATTACTGGTCGTGCATCTGTGACTGAGTGCCTCCGCCTCCTCTGGTCCCTGCAGGTCGCGGATGAAGAAGTCTGCCGCACCGGCGCCTCCTCGAAGTGTGGCCGGTGGCAGCGGCAGCGCCTGTTCCTTCTCCGGCCCGACCACCTCGAGGAGTTCGGCCTGCGTGCAACAGCCCCTGCCGCCGGCCACGGGCAGCGCCATCAACCGCTCGGTCAGCAACGACGACTGCGCCATCGATGACTTGCTCGAGGGCCGCATGGACCTCCGGCTCGTGCTTCCCGACGGCCGGGAGGTGCTCGTCAATGTGGAGCGAAGGTACGCTATCGCTCGCGGGAGTTTGAGGAGCGCTCAAGAACCCATAGCCTAAAGCCACTTAATAAGGTGCGCTTAGAGCGACGGCACCGCCATTTTGGTGTTTAGTGCAGAGCTGGCGCAATCACTGGGTGGCATATGCGAGAACGCTGTGTAGAGCGCGTGCTCGGAACGAGCTCTCATTTGGATGGTGTGGAATGCACGTTGCAAATGAACTGTGGAAGCTCGCCATCGGCACGCGCTCTGCAGTCGCGCACACAGTTATGACCGCCAGTGAATACTCCCCAATTCGGAGCTTTTAGTCGCCAAGATGGCTGAAGGGCCGGGGAAGTGGCTCTAGTATAGGAATTTAAAAGTCGGGTGTCCGGGCTCCGCCATCTTGCTGCTGGCGAGTGTAGATGTGATAGTCAAGCCCTGCTAAGGCGTGCCCACGGTTGCCAGACTGACACGCAAACAAAACGTTTTACACCTGTGGCCAGACTAGCTTTTGAAGCGTGGTTGCTTGCAAACGTGTATAGACATATGCAAGCACAGCCTCTGGGCGCCGCCATCTTCCTGCTGGCGTCTGTAGATTGTTTGATAGTCAAGCACCGCTAAGGCCTAACCACGCTTGCCAGACATCCAAAAAAAGCATTTTCCATTCACATGTGGTCAAACTACTGGACGCCGTCATCTTGCTACTGGCGTCTGTAGATCGACTGATAGCCTTGCTAAGGCGTACCCGCTGTTGCCAGGGTGGCACCCAAAGTATTTTCCAGCCGCCATGGTCAGACTAGCTGTTGAAGCGCGGCTGCTTGCAAACGTGTATACCGATATAAAAACGAAGACGGTGCCGACGACGTACTGGGGCCGGGCTCATGGGCGTGCCTGGTCGGGGGCCCCGTTTTCGCGTTTTTTCCTCTTCGAGAACAACTTTCGCGCACTGTTTTTTTCCTCGTCGTGGCCGACGTTCTGCTACTTGCCTCGATCGGTGCCGGCGGCGGGCGCGCGCGCGCGCGTCCAACACAAGACAACAGTTTTTGACAAAAAACAAAAAAAAGTAAGGGACGTAACAAAAAAGTCAAGTAATGGGCGCTTGGAAAGAAGGCGAAGCAGCGCTTGCCTACATATGGTTCCTTTCCTCTTCGTAGAGTACCGATTGTTTTCTTTGTGTGTGGGGGAGGGGATGACATGCGGAGTGCAGGAGATCGGTGAGGTGCGGTACGTAAAAATTGTCGGGTGTTCTATATGTGAATCTAATGTTAGCTTCGAAGCACGGTGCTACATTTCTTTCACGGAGGACCTAGGCCAGTGGGTGGCGCGCATTCATGGAGTCGTTGTTGGAATTGCGTATTGTGCTGGGTCGTTCAGCGTGAAGAAACACCTTTTAAGCCAGCTCTAAGTGCGATTGTGTGTATTTTGATTGGCGAGCTGGTTGGTAATCGAAGGCTACGTCCCTGTCTCTGTGCTCTGCCAGACGGAGGAGGCAACGAGGAAAATGACAGACAGCGCGCAAACATTTCAGAACTTAGTTTCTGCTCTAATTGGCCGGAGTGGATGTAGTGCTCTAAAATTTAGCCTTCCTCATCGAAACTTAATCTAGCATGAAGTATATTGTTTTTTTTTTGCTATCTTAACCTGATATGTTAGTTTGCTCGAAAAGTTTTGACTGATCGAATTAGAACCTATCATCCCAGTTTCTTAATCAGTATTAATTGATTTCCCAGCAAATCAATGCCAAATCAACTTGTGTGCCCTGCGTACACTTGATGCGTACTCTGACTTGATTTGGTCCACCTTTGCTTCCCTCCTCCGTGGTCTTTCTTGTTGTCCTCCTCGCCCTTTCCCTTTCTTAATGGTTTGATCTCCTCTATGCCCTCAATAAATTCTAAATGTTCATTAAACCCAGAACTGTGTTTTTTTGTTTTGTTTTTGTTTTAGTGTACAACATTTTAGAGAAACAACAATAACCCAAAGAGAATAACAGAAAAAGGGGGAAATCCATATTTAAAATGAAACTGCAAATATACAGGATAATTTACTTTGAAGCAAAACTAAAATAAATAAATGAAACGGGGCTGAAAGACGAGTGCCGTCTTTACCGTGTACTTATCAGACCCGGCGGATATAAGATGAAAGGATAATCTTCGCGGTAAGTTGAGTAATTAACTAAAATGCGTTAATTAACTTTTTGTGATTGGTTTTAGGGGTCATTTGCAATCGCAGTATTGACGACAATTACAGGTAGAGGCCAGACCAGATAAAAGAATTTGAAAAAAAAAAAGTGATAGTTTTTTTTAGATATTAGTTGATGAATAGTCACATTCTTTAGTACGATTTAGGAATTGCGCGCAAAAAGCGCGCCACAAGCCTTGCCCACCAGGACGCTTAAAAGTGTGACGTCGTCGCATCGTCGCTTATGTCGTGTCCGTGCCCAGCAAGGACACGCTGCCGAGATATTGACGGGCGCACCTTTTGCGTGCAATTTTGGAATCGGGTGGAAAACCGTAAACATTTACCAATTAATTTCTAAAAGCATTATTTTTTTTTAAATTTGTCTGGCCTCAAATAGTATTTGCCGTCAACACTGCAATTGCAACATGAGCTATAAAACCAATAATTAAATGTTCATTAACGGATTCTAGTTAATAAGCCTGCTTACCATGACGAGTATCCCCTCATTAATGTCCACCGAGCCTGATAAATACACGGTGAAAACGGAACTCGTCTATCTCTCACCCCCTTTGAAAAAATGAAAAGAAGAAGCATTGGAATTAAAATTATACACCCTGTATGGTTGAGAAAACTATGTTGGGTCAGATTACCGGAGATATGGCTGTTTTAAATCAAGCCTTCATTCAGTTATTTTCAAAAGCCCTTTAACCAAACAAATTTCCTTTCCAGTTTTATAGGGAATAGCACTGAAAACGCCACATTCGCTGCTCTTGTTAATCTTTTCAAATCCAGCGGTTTTGCAAGTCGAAATTATACAAACACTATATTTTTTTTTAACCACAATTACGATATGGTTTTGCATACCATGTGTGTGCATTTGAACAAGTCGACTCAGCATTTCAATTTTGTCATTTGTGGGTTAACAATAAAACAGTGGTGTTTAATTTTAATTCAAACAGATTTATTTTATATATATATATATATATATATATATATAAGTGAAAGATGCGTACTGTCGGAGTTACTAATTCGAAGTTTGACGTTATATATATATAGATATATACCCGTAAGACATACACTAATGCGGTTTCTGCAGCTGGGCTCTACGGCCAGAAGGACATTTTATGGGTGGCTAGTCTTCACGACAAGTCAATTAATTAACTGAAAGTTAACTTCTTGATTAGTGGAAATAAACATATGGTTTTAAATTGAAACTTGCTGAGTATCATCTAAAACCACTGTTGCACGAGTGGTTACTTTGATGCACACCCGCGTTTCCTACGTGCTTCAAGTCATTCTAAATGTGATTGATTTAGTGGTTTTAGATGACGCTCAGGAAGTTTCTAATTGAAACTGTGTGTTTATTTTCAATAATTAAAAAGTTAGTTAAAAATGTAAGTTAATTACCCGACCTATTGTAAAGATTACCCACTCATATAATCTCCCCATGGCCTTATAGTTAACACGCACAAATCGTATTGTGTATCTTTTACGGATTTTTTTTTATAATAAACCTGTTCGAACTAAAATCAAACACCCCGTATACAGCATAATTTATTGCTGTGCATTAATGTTTGCTAGCTTTGTGGATTTTGACGAACCTGTTTGCAAATTGTCCCATGGGCTTGTACAATAATCGTTAACATTATTTGTAAGGCCCACATCTCATGTGTCCCCATGCCTTTAGATCCGCAAAACTCACCTGTGCGTACGCTCACTCTCACCTTTAGAGGTAAGGGTGAACGAGTTTGTGAGCCATGAAAACTTAGTTTCAGTGAGGAGAATGAGTTTGAGCATGGGCATGAATTTGAGTAGGAGGCATACGTTTGAGCAGTGGGCATGAATTTGAGTGAGGTACGTAGGTTTGAGAAGTGGACGTGAATTTCGGGCATGACTTTGAGTGAGATGTATGTAGGGGGACCATATTCCTCAAGGTAGAAAAAGGGGACATCCCAGCCGGGGAGGGGGGGGGGGGGGGGGGGGGGGGTTGTATTAGAGATTGAGGTTGGGAGAAAAAAGTTAATAAAATAACTGCTGTTTCTTCAAAACGTCATCGTATTGCACTAAATTTTACTCTCTAGGTATATTTCCCCCGCCTGAGTTTACGCCGCTTCACGGCGACAGTATGCGGCTGCTGATTGCAAAACTATTAACCTTAACCCAGTTGGCCCCACCGTACAACCAGCAACCCAAGCAAACACAATCCGCCGGAAAGGAAGTCCCATACTATTTAGCTCAGCAAAGTTTCGTCGACAACATTAGCTTTTTTTTTCTGCAGTGTTAATTTTAAACAAAAAATGTAAATATCGCCAAATCCACGACAAAAAAAAATGTTCGAAAAAAAAATGTACGCACACTTTGTGGATTGAACCTGGTGGGTTCAATGCTATGAAGCAGGCACCTTTCCACTAAGCTACACTACCTTTTTTATTTCGCATTTAAGTTCTTTGTAATTTTTCGTTCTATACGAGACCCACCAAGTTTCGCGTCGTGCGCATAGCCATTTACGGTCGAGGTGCACGTGCTAGCTTAACTAATATTTTAAGGTACCGAGGGTCATTTTTGTGAAATATACTTGTAATAAGTAGGCATCGTTTCGGTTTGCTTCAACTCACTTAATGCCAATTTCGAAACTATGCGCTCCTGCGAAAACGGGACATGATTATATATTGGCACAAAAAGACGGGACGGCAGTAGCGGACCTCACAAACGGGAATGTCCCGCCCAAAACGGGACATCTGGTCACCCCAGATATATGTGACTTGTGGGCATGAATTTCAGTGATAGGTGTGAATTTGAGTGATGAATGTGAGTTTGAGCAGTGGGTATGAGTTTGAGTCAGGGCATGAATTTCAGTGATAGGTGTGAGTTTGAGTGGTGAATGTGAGTTTGAGCAGTGGGTATGAGTTTGAGTCAGGGGCATGAGTTTGGGGGATTGGTGCGGGTTTGAGTGAGGGGCATGAGTTTGAGTGACACATGTGAGTTTAGGTGAATTATGTGAGTTTGAGAGGTGGGTATGAGTGAGTGAGTGATGGGGCATGAGCTTGAGGGCTGGGTTAGAGTTTGAGTGGTGCATATGAATCTGAGGCATGGGTTTGGGTTTGAGGGGGGCATGCGTTTGACCAGTGAGTGTGAGTTTGAGTGATGGGTGTAAGTTTAGTGGTGGTGTGGGTTCGAGTGATGGGTCTAAATTTAGTGGTGGTGTGAGATTGAATGATAAGTGTGAGTTTGATGAGGGACATGAGGGATATGTGTGAGTTTGAGCGAGGGTCATCAGTTTGAGTGATGCATGAGTTTCAGCTAGTTTCACCTAAGATGCCGACCTCAACCCAGGACGCCTGTGATGGACCTGCTGGTTCAAGTGGCAACAGCACACAAGATCAACCCGAGCGGGCACCTGATACAGGTCCCTGCTGGGGAGAGGGGGGACCCCTTGACTTGCAAGCCCAACACCGCCATTGGCTCCCTGGACACTGGTCGCCTGCTGGTTGTGCCCAAAGCTGCGCCGGGCGTGGCAGTCACAGACGCACCCCTCCTCCGGCACGTCTCGCAGCACGCTGGAAACCGCATCTCCAAGCTGCAGCCCTTTGAGGTGAGTATGGGATCGACTAAACACGGGCATTGAAGTTGCAGTAATTACCTGGAGCTGAGCTGGTTTGTTCCTTCATTCAGCTGGAAAATCTCACAAGCAACAATTACTGCGAAAGGACCTCAATCACCCATCTCAGGGAGGTGTCTGAGCTAGAGATATCTAAAGAAGTTTTACCATTGCTGCAATCTCAGTGGCCGTGAAAAAAGTCTACCAGCTTAAAGTTAAGCTTGTAAAATAATTTGCTTACAATTGCATTGCAGATACTTTGTTGCAATCCAATCATTTACCTCACCAATTTACAACTGAACAGTTCTCGGCAATGAGTGTTGCATGTTCATATTACAGCTTCAGGGTGCATTATGAGCAGTGTACAAACGCAAAACTAAACCCTTACCATCTACGCCACTTGACTGAACAATGGGCAGGCAGTCATAGCATGCCTAGCCTGTAATGTTTTCCAGTATCTTTCTTGTAAGTAACTGTACCTGCAATAAGACGTATTGGTAGGCGTGTTACATCATTTATAATTTTCTAAATATACTTCAGTCGAAGTAGCTGTAGCTGAATTACTTCTAAAGACTGACTTTTACAGCTTTGGAGGCAAATAAACATATTTCTCCTTACTGGTTTTGCTAAGACCGCTTGCCATTTGCAGAACATGAAATTGTTTGTGTATTTTTTCTTGTTTGTCACTCCACTTTTATATCAAATGTCGCTGTGCCTCAAAAGAATTTGTTCCAGAGCACGGTGAAGCTCTAGAAGCCCGCGAATTAGAGAGTGCAGTTTCCAGGACCTTGTGGTCCAAGGATCATGTGACGGGCTAGTTGTGGTCCCTTCAGTATTAAAATTATCTTACAAATATTTTTATTTGTTTGAGCCTGAAGTTACATAATTACTTCGGCTACGCTCGGAAAGATCATGTTTCAGCATATCAAAGATGTATAAAACGAATAATAGAAATATAGACATCAAGCCCTGTGGATGTAGTGCATGCCTTGTGACTTAGGATAGCTGCATGCTGCAGCCAGCGCTCCACAAAAAAAACTTAACCCAGTTAATGTCATATAATCAAACTGTGCTAACTACGTGCGAGGCAACAGGAAAGCCTAACGTCCGCAGTGTTATGACGCTGTCGAAGCTACTGGCACGAGCGTGTGACTTCGTTTGGTGTCTCCTCCGCATGAAAGCTATAGAGTGCGAATGAGATGCAATAAGCAACATGCCGTCTCACCAGTGTGGGGCCACAGCACTGTGAAATGTACGTTAGCCTTGGCCGCGTAGCACAATAAAAGTCAGCACCGAGAATATCCTTCAAGCCTTTTATATAATAAGAAAAGACATGAAGACATGAGTAAGTGATTTAAGCGCAATTAAAGTTATCGTAAAGTCCCCAAAGAAAGCTCACCCAAAATGAGGAGATAAATGGTAAAAAATATGGGGTGGCCGATGTTTGGATGTGCTGCAACAGAATTTTATAAGTAAAAAAAAAAAAAAAATGGCGATAAGCACCGGGGGGGGGGGGGGGGAGAGAGGGAGAGAGAGAGAAAGGGGGGGGGGGGGGGCGGCGCCGCCATTACAAACTATGTGAAACGGGAACTAATACCACAGATCGCGGACACGGCAAATTCGCGTATCACGGTGCGATAAATACGCGGGAATTCGCTACCAACTCTCCTGTCACGGGAACGAATACAGCAAAACACGGACGCAGCATATTCGCGCTTCAAAGTGTGATAAGCACGCGAGTATAGCTACAAACTCGTGTGTCACGGGAACAGCGCGCAAGTCGCGGACAAAAGCGCGGGAACTCGCTACGAATTCGGATGTCGCGGGAACCCTTACCGCAGATTGCGGGCGCAGCAGATTCGCGCTTCACGGTGCGATAAGCGCGGGAAACGATTACGAACTTGCGCATCATAAAGACCATTATCGCGCGCGCAAATCGCAAGAAAAAAAAAAAAAAAAACGCGGGAACGAGCTACGAATTTGCATGTCACGGAAACTGATATAGCAGATTGCGGACGCAGCAGATTCGCGTTCAATGGTGCGATAAACACAGCGAATCTACGGCAAACACCCTTGTCTCACGTACTGATACCGCAGATCGCGCGGGAGATGTGATTCCCGTCGGGCATCACGTGATTGATGTCCGTGTGGAATCGGGGGGGGGGGGGGGGGGGGCGATATTTCGGAATATTTGTTACGGATATTCAGCTTAGAAAATGCGATGGGCGATCTCTCGGGGGACGGGCGTTTAGACGGGACTTTACGGCCCATGTATCTTCATTTGATAAATGAAGTCAGGGCAGACAGAATGCATAGCATGTTTTGCATAGCATGCATAGCATGCTATATCTGCACAAGAGTGCAGATATAGCAACTATGCTAATCAGAGCCGCTCTGCTGGCGAACTGATATGGTATCAGATTACAGATCGAGAGGTCCCTGACTTGATTCCCGCTGGAAGACGAAAGTGTTTTTTTAAATAGCAAGGCCAGGTGTCTAGACATTTGACCTTGCTATCATGTTCTGGTACCAAAATTTCATAATGCTCGTCTTGGAAACAAGCCCTGAAACACATTCTCTGTTACAATTGTGAACACCTTAATCTTACATTTAATGCCAGAGTTGCACAGATAGCATTTTGCTCTGTCTGTTAGCTTTATCTCAGGATGATTGCACATACACCCACACATACATATACATATTTACTGAACAATAGTACCTATGTGATATTTACTGCTAAATTTAGAGGGAAAACTTCCTTGACACATTTAGCAGTTTGTGTTTTTTCGTAATGAATGTCACACTCAAAAGACCGAAACCAGCCTTGTATTACGCTTTTCATTCTAAATGCCACAGCAAAGCTTGCAATAAAATCCTTGAAGAAGTCAGACACCTTATAATAGAGCAGGGGTGGCCAAGCTGCGGCTCGCAAGCAAGCCGCATGCGGCTTTTTGCGTGTTAAAGTGCGGCTCGCGGCTCCCTCCCCTAACACTTGAGAAATGGAACGCGTTTTTAAATTGAAAGACAGGCCCCCCCCCCCCCACGGCCCTTGGAACTTTCATGGCTTTGTTTGCGGCTCTTAGGCTTGGTCAGCCTGGCCACCCCTGTAATAGAGGTTCTCTAACCCTTGGTTGGCATGCTTGGATTGAGAAACATATGGGAGGTGGATGATGCTGACTCGCAGGCTTCTTATCTTTTACGCACTACACCATAAAGATCTGGACAAGACAGAAAACAACAGAACTTCTTATGTAGCGTACCACTAAAGTAGTGCCTCTTCTGTCTTGTCTCCAGTTTTTGGAGTACCATATTTACTCGCGTAAAGAACACACTTTTAAAGCGCAGCCCTTAGGTGCCCGTGTTTGTGTTTCGTGCCGTCGGCGTAATCACGCTAAATTTAGCAGGAAAATTGACACCATATGTTCTCAACACCAATTCACTTTCCCCGCTAAATTTGGCAGGGAAAATGATGTCACATGACTTGGTATCCCGTCACCTATGAACAAATTCAGTTTCTCCTCTAGATTTAGCGGGAAAACTGACGTCACGTGGCCTCAACAGCAAATCAATTCCCTGCTATATTCAGCGGGAAAACTGTTGTCACGTGACCTTAACGTCAAATCAATTTCCTGCTATATTTAGCAAGATAATTGACGTCACGTGGCCTCGAAACTAATTCAGTTCCCTCGCTAAATTTAGCAGGGAAAATGACGTCACATGACTTTGTGTCACGTCACCTATGAACAAATTCAGTTTCTTCGCTAGATTTAGTGGGGAAAATTGACGTCCTGTGACCTCTGCAGCAATTCAATTTGCCCGCTAAATTTAGCGGGGAATTGAATTGTTGTTGAGGTCATGTGGCATCAATTTTTCAGCTAGATTTAGTTGGGAAACTGGGAGGAGGGGAGGTTATGGGGGAGAGGAGGAAGAGGATGGGAGGGTATGCAGGGGAGGAGGGGAGGGGACAGAGGAGGAGGAGGAGGGGAGGGTATGGTGTAGGAGGAGGATAGGTGCTTAATACCCTCCCCTTTTCCTCCTTCACACCCACTAAGTTTAGTTTCCCTGCTAAATTCAGTGGGGAAAATGGTGCCGCATGACTTCATGTCATGTCGCCCATGAACAAATTCAGCGAGAGGAGGAAAGAGGAGGAGGGTAATAGAGGACGGTAGGAGGAGGGTGAGGAGGGTAGGGTATGGAGGAGGGGCATGCCCTCCCCTTCATACCCTTCCCTCCTCCTCCTCAAAAGCTGTGCTCTAGTTCTGCATTACGGAGATTTGTAAACATCTTTCATTTTTTGGCCCGAAAAATTGACACATATTTGGGGAGTATGTTGATTATGCGGGGTAAAATTTTTGCATTTACATACTTTGCACAAATGTGATTTTAGGTGCCAATATGACATGGCAGGGTACTGTTGCATGTCTCCACTGATGGAGGCGCACCCACGGCTGGTCGTGGGTGCGCCACAGTAACCATGCTCTATAAATTGCGAACCATTTTAGGGCACTTTTGACGTGCCTTTTATTGAAGAAAAACGCCTTTCGAAGCTCACTCATCACGAAAAGCGACGCGATCGTTCTTAGGCCTAACCACTTTCACGATTTTACTGTTTGAAAGCAGACCACAGAAGATGACGTGTTTGTTGGCATCAATGCATCTGATGAATGAAGCATGTCCGGGCAATTCTTCGACACCAGCTTTGCTAGGCGTGCGTACCGCTCAGTTTCAGGGTCGATCACCCCCGCAACCATGCACTGGCAGCCATTACGAGAGCGGCTTGGCCTGGCTTGACGGCCTGGCCGCTTGGTGGCAAAAGAAAATAGGCTTGGTGGACTTAAGGGCTAGCTGGCTAGCTAAGTTGGACACAGTTCAAGACTCGCGGAGCCGAAAATTGAAAGTGCATTCATTACGCAAGAAAAAAAAATTTAATATTGATTCCTGTTGTGGCGGGTGCATTCACTATGCGAGTAAATACGATAGTATGTAATTATTTATTATGTGTATGTTTAGACAACGGGAAGTCAGTCAGTCCCGATGGGTGTAGAAGCTGTAGAGGAGAAATTTGGTCAGTGGAGTCTCACTGCTAGCCTGGGGTCTTTGAAGTGCACCAGGCAGTAGGGATACTACACGACTGCATGCCTGTACAATGAACAATGACCATTCAGATCGAAACAGATAGGTTTGAGGGAAACCGAATCCAGGGTTTTCGGGTTCTGTACAGCGAGTTTTTGCTTTGCACGCTCCAAGCCGCGCCGCGGTAACAGACTCGGCCAAAAGGCGAAAGACCAACTAGTGCATCTGGTTGTCTTGATCTCTTTCATTGTTTTTTCCGCAGTCGACACTTCGGGTGCAGGTGCGTCTTCCACGCAACCAGCTGATGGTGGTGCGCCTGCCACTGAGCACCACCCTGGAGGAAGTGAGGCGAACGGCTTGCCTTGAAAAGAACCTGGACCCCGCCGGGTACCAGCTGGTGCGTCCTGGCATCCCAACGCAGCCGCTGGACCTTCACTGCTCCCTGCTCGAGTATGGGGCATCCGAGGTGATGCTCCTCTCCAACCGAAGTAAGTGCTCTTTTGTACTAGCGCTAGTATTTGGACTGCCGTATTTACCGGGTGTTCAGAAGAGAAGAGAACGGTGTTTTTTCTCACCTGAATTTCTTAAATTTTCATTGAAAAAATGGGGTGCATTTTCGGTAGCAATCACTGTGCACCTCCATGTATCGTGGGCTCTGTTGGTCGCCACCTCCTCATTTAAAGTTTTCGAAAATAGCTTATATTTTTTTATTTGACAGATGTCACCAGCCAGTTTCCTCACGCCACCGCTGCCATAGTGCATCTATTGAACTTAAGTCTTTTTGCACGTGGGACAACCTTGCCGAAGCACTGCGCTTTCAGAGCATGACACGGCACAAGGCGTCTCAAGAACTGCCGCCTGCCTCCTCTGAACTAAAGTTATGGCGGCGCTACGCATGCGCCGAACATTTGGTGAGATCGGTCAATTGGGTAACATTAAGCTCAAAAACTTTGTCATCTGGCCCCAACCTCTCGCGCTGCATTACAAGGAGACTGAGCATACGGTGGTACCTCTACTTTATTTTTGTGGTGAGAAAAATGTGCTTATCTTTTCTTCCAGACACCCAGTACTTTGCTGTGCAAATGCCTACGCCCATGTATTTGGCAGTGGTATGCTAGCTACTCTAGCCTATCCTTTTCTAACTGCTGACACTGTTATTTTTCTTGTTCCTGATGTTAATTGGCTGCTTTGACCTTCTGCTTTAGCCTATGTGACTTGTGGAGGAGCTGAATGAATGACAAGGCACTGATAGTATTTGTATCTGAAAAAGATGTCTGCACTGGAACACAAAACATTGCATTCATGGGCTTGGAGACCCAGTGCAGATTTTGTCTGCTCTTTTTCATGGAGCAATGATGGACTGTCTGTGTGATTTGTGGCTTTTTAAAGCAGTAGCTTTATAGGGCCAACCAACCTCAGGTGACGTGTAAGCGTGAATAGTGTAGGTCGGTCAGTCCGTACCAGCGAAATGATCTTGAATAAAAAACGGCAACTGGTGCCATGGATTGAACCCCGGTCACCAGCGTGGAAGCCGAGTGTGCTGCTAACTGAGCTACGGACCCAGCACGCAGGAATGGGAGGAGCAGAACCAGGTGGTGTGAGAAAGCGCGTGAAGCGGAGAGGGACATGAAAGGGCAAGAAAGAGAGGAACAGAAACAGGTGTTGTAGAAAAAGTGTGTGGAACGAGGAGGAGTGGAAAGGGCAGGAAAGCATGCTCCCCCTCTCTTGGTGACCCAGAAAATTCGATGCAAAGGCTTTGTATCTAGGTGGTGCTGAAGGAAAGCATGCGCAGCATCACAAAAAGACAATGGTGTGACACAGGCACGTAGCCAGGATTTTGTTTTGTGGGGAAGCCCACCCATGACAAAATGCTGTATGAGGGGGAGGGGGGAGAGGAGGTCCCAGCAAAATGGAAGATTTCGAGGGGGTCTGGGCCTCATCGGTCTCCCCCCTGGCTACTTGCCTGGTGTGACATATTCTGTTTCCATACAAAACCCTGCCCTAGGCACCACCCGAACTAAGAGCACCATCCACCTTATAAAGCTACTGTATTTAAATGCATTTGACAGAATGACGAAACATGCAGCCAATTTCGTATGCACATGTTTTATTTACCAAGATATTTTTGGCTTTTACTCTAGATTAGCTCCATTAAACATTGGACCCAGGAGGTTAAATATGTCACCACAAAAGAATAATTTTACCATTTCATGGCATTTCTTATTTCCACAACCAGTGTCGGGTGCGTTTGTTTGCATGGCCGCACCACTCCCTCCCCGCTTTGTAGAATAAAAGTAATGCTGTTGACACGAAACTATCCGTGGTCGTTTCAGTGCTGGCGGAGAACATCCAGAACTCGACAGCGGACCTGCGCAGCTACTCGATGAACCAGGAAGGCAAGAGGCTCGTTCTGGGCCTGCCCTCCCACTCCAGGAGCAAAGGGGTGAGTGTGGATCTGGGCAGGACTGGTGGAATGCCATTGCAACACAAACTCTTTATGCAGTGAAACCATCCTAGTCATTCATAGACTCCTGTGTCCCTTTCTACCACATGACATTTTAATGCGAAAGCATAAGCTGGGTCTCATGGAGCGAAAGAGCCAAACAGCTCTTTTATGTTGCTTCAATCCCATTGGCTAGCGCGCGTCCACAGCCAACGGCACCTTTTACATTGCTGCGACCCCATTGGCTAGCCCGCTATGACCAGGCACCCATTCGCCGGACACGCAGCGCCATGGGGTGGCCGGTCGTTGAAACTGACGCTCCACGTCAGTTTCAACGACCAGCCACCTCATGGCGCTGCATGTCCGTCAGTGCCAGTCAGTGCGCCAACAGCGAAAGTCGAAAGCCTGTCTTGTCTGTTTGTCTTGGCCCTCTTTCCTTATCATAAATTAGAAACCAACGTGCTCAACCATCTACAGCAAGATTGATGTACTAGAAGTGCTTAGGTGTACCTCAATCTTTTTTTGCTGTTTCTCTATGATGCATGCAGATTTTGCAGAAGGGTTAGCTGCATGACAAACGTGCAAGCTTCGTTTATTAGAAGTTTCAATTCTTCCCCACAGAATATGTGGGTATTTATTGTGGCTTATATAGAAAGAAACCGAAGATGTGACTTTGCACCCTTTCTACTCGGAGCTACACGACTAGGTGTTTCGTATGTTAGTTACTCTCCTGCAAGGTGCCAACCAGCCACACCACAGTGACTTTGTCACTGATGAAAAGCATGTGCCAAGGACAGTTGGGTTGCAGCTATTTACAATGGCTGGCAGTAAGTGACTATGTCTTGTTAAACCAGTGCATTCCATCGTCCTCCGTTGTGGGCATTAGCATGGAAGACCAAACAAACTGCAATCTGCTCGAATTCTGAACATGACAACACTGTTCCAGCCAAGATCAAGTCAATATTTCTTTGGAAAGGAGGCGCTCTCTGGGCGGCACCATTTTGTTAGACCGCAGCGCCCTCTCCACACATCCGGGAAGTTCGGTGGGGTAAAACGAGAGAGAAGGCACGCACCCGACTCCGCTAGCAGACGACAAACCGGGAGGTTGCCGTTCTCCATCTTTGGGCTGTATCGGCGGGCAGTACGGAACATCAAACTCTCGCTCGTGGCTGCCGTTGTGGGGTGGTTTGCGTTCTTAGAATAGTTGTGGCTACTCCAAAATCAGCCTATAGCTCTCTGTTGTTCTATTTCGCTAAATGATCAACTAGTATATCCTTTTTCCGTTACTTAAATAGCAGTTGAGTCAGCCGGCAGTACTACCCTCAACTCCTGCGTGTATTGCGGCACGAGAGCCCGTTTTATTTATTATTTCAGACTTCCACTTATGGTCGCTAAAGGACTACACCAGTACGAACTTTGTATAGTAAAAAAGGTACAGCAACGGGATTTACTTTTTGCCAAAGAGACCGGCCAATCTGACATAGTTTTCCCTATTTTTTTTTTTATTTGCACGCAGGTAACAGCGCAATTGGACCCTGTGAGTCTTTTTATCTAGCATAGTATTACACGACAACTGGCATACCAAAATCTGCGCATCTGCGCTTGAAAGTTCCAAAATGACGCGATTTTAAATAGTTTGTACGCCAGCCGGGCGCTAGCTACAGCCCACTCGGCGGAGCAGACGACGTCGGGGTGAGAGGGGAAGTGCATTTTTTTCTCTTTTACCCTCTCTGCTATGACCCTAATGGAACGGTCTATAGTCAACCACCATGATGGGTATTGACCTATATGTACTATAAAAACAAATCAATTCTTGTTTTTGGAAGGTAAAATCTACATACAGTAGACATACCGGTATTTCTAAAAGATATACTTTGCTTGGTAAAGCTACTTGTTTTAGGGGGTTGCATCTGCCAAATCTAAGGAATGTAGTGACCCTCTCGGAGCAGGTAGCTCTTTTTGAGACCAAATGTTATCTGTGTCTCTTTATCTATAAGCTGCCTCCTGTACATCATGTACATTGACATTCGGTGCACTGTATGGGAAAATAGGCTGCGTGCTTTGGCTATGAAAGAAATTGGATCACAGAGTTGTAGGTACAATTGCGTAGATAGCTAACCAGCCTCAAAAACGCTTGACTCATTGTCAACATGTAAGCTGGCGGAAACAGTGTGGCAGAGAATAAGAGACGGTAAATAAATGTTGGGGGGAATGCCATCTACCCAGAGATTATCAGCATTTCTTTCTAGGGAAAGACATGTTGATATTAGAAGGTAAGGGCACACTGAATACCATGGAAGCATGGTTTTTAGAATAAATGTTGGAATGCTAAGTGAACATTCTTGCATAACAAAGAGGATAAAGAGTATGTGAGTTCTAAGAGCACAAATATGTGAATGCGAGAATTTTAACACTGTTCTAGATGCCCAAACAACGTCGACGTGTTTCGGCTCTGTTCTACATATACCGTATTTTCCGGACTATGAGTCGCACCCTTGTATAAGTCACACTTCCGTATGTTGAACCGTTTACATGAAAAAGGTATATAAGTTGCACCTCTTTGCATGGCTCACGTCAAAGAGATTTTTCGTTTTACGCGCATCATTATCGCGAAATTGGTGTATCGCACAGTTGGCTAGTTCACACATACTGCTTGACACGTAGCAACGTTGACGTTTCAACTCGCGAGAAATGCCCATAGCACGGCGCTGTCTGGTAGGTGCAATCGAGTGTTTCACGGAAAGAGGACTTGAAACGTGCGAAATGAGAAGGTAGTCTGCTTTATTCGATCGTACACATGCTGAGCGAATGAAAGTTTAACATGCCAGACACTCGTGAATCAAGCTTTGGATCGCTAGGCCTAGCCTTGGCCAAGTCATGGAGACAACACAAGCTTTAATGCACGGGCAGATAGATAAATCTTGACAGACTTCTTTCGGTACCATTAGAAAATCAACTAGCCGCAATCCTTCCTTTTACATGTAGCAACACCGCTGGAGCATGGTAGAAAAAGAAATGTTCGTCAAACAGAAACTAAGAAAGACAAGAAAATTTTCTGCAATGCGTGTATACCAGCCCACTTACTTTTCAGTGTTACTGGACTGAAGCAAAAAAATACGGAACCATGGCTGAATTAGGCAACATCTATCACATGCCGTAAAACCTTTATTCTACTTTCTGAGCCAGTAGTCAGTTATAAAAAGTGTAGAGGAGTGCGGCAACAGCAGTGCCCGCTAGAAGGGGCAACGCCACCTACTGCTATGTAGTTAGGGTGCTCTACAAAAGATGGCAGGTGGCGCATAACATTTTTTTTTCGCTCCATGAATTAAAGAAAGAGATTCACATAAGTTGTATTGTTGTATAAGATGCACCAAGAGAAATGTATGACAAAAACTGTGACTTATACACCGAAAAGTATGGTATGTTTCTGTTGCATGGCACACAACTCTGAACTTTCTATTGCCTCATTACGATCATACAGGTTAATGGTTGCCATGCAGCAATGCCAATCATTCAGCATGAATAAGTGGGAGAGGAAGAAAGTTCATGTGATGAGAGGGGCAGCGACATGTCTTCACTTCTGACGTTATGCAGTAATTCTGCAGAATGTAAAAAAAGATGTCCCTGCCTGAGGCAATTTTTTCACTTAATTTTGAAGATATCGAGCCGAAATTCGCAGGAAGCCTTAAAATAACCAAGATGTTAAAACTAATGCATAACATTTAGTACTCAAACATCACAACAATGGGCAAAAGTAGGTTTTTGTATCGGCCATATTTTATTTCCAAAGGTTAGATAGGGCTTGCAAATTGAGAGAATTCAATATTTTTCTACTTATAGTTGAAAAATGGAATGGGCTAGCCAGTACAGTCGACTCTCATAATTTCAAACTCGAGGGGGGCTGAAAATTTGTTTAAATAAAGCAAAGTTTGAATTATCAGGAGTTTCCTCTTATAAAAACGCATAGGATGGGACCTGCAATTTACTTTGAATTATCCACAATTTTGAATTAACAGATTTTGAATTAATGAGAGCCGACTGTAATATTGTTGCAATACTTTTGAATAATTTCTACTCTTTAATGTTTGTTAAACGAGCGTGATTAATCTGTTCTTTCCTTTGTCGCCAACTATCATTCCCTGGCAGTTGAGTTTATAAACGCTCGTATATTTGTGTGTATGTGCAGGGCGTATTAGGTGTTTGGGAGAACAGAGAACCATATGTTTTTTTCGATTAAATCAGTGAATTTCAACCATTGATGTTTTCTAGATTCCTCGTGGATCAGTGGAGATGATGGAGGACACTGTTCGTGGTGAGGGGAAGGGAAAGCTACAGGTTAATTACGATAATGGTTTGAAAAATGGATATAACTAAGAGCTAGTTTGAAGTAGACTTCTCTCATTCACATGCATACGAGAAAATTTACCCAAAAATCTGAACATTCCTTCTCAATATGAAAAAAAGAGAACCTTTCTTGCTGGGCCTGACTGATGAAACAGGGCTGTGTGAACCACAAAGGGTACGCGAACCCCCGTTTGAGAACTACTGAGCTAAAAAATAAACTATGCAGTGCCGAACGCTTGAAACTTACCAGAGGTCATTCAGAGGTCATAAGCAATTTTTCTATTTGTTTTTAATGAGAAAATGGGGGCCAACGAAGCCTGCAAATACATGGAGAGTAATGGCATCCGATAACGGAAACGGGCCCCATTTTCTCACAGAAAGTTTCAGGACATTGTCCATAACTTTTGAACTGGATAACACAAACTCCTGAAACTTTAGCATCTGGTTCCAATCTTTAGCGCTACGTTTTTGCAGAGACTGAGTGATCTATGACGCATAGTCTCTTTCTGTAGTAAGAAAAAAAAAAAAAAAACATTCTTTTTCTCTCAAACACCCTACATTTCTCATGAAGTCATCACGTACCTCTAGTGCTCTCCTGTGGCATTGCTCTGTAAATTCGTTTAATGAATAGTAAATGCGACGTGTTTGGTGTCAGAGTGCCGGGGCAGCCTCCTAAAACTCTGCCGTGTCCTTGACCCGACGCAGCAGAGCCTAACAGGGTCGAGCAGCGACGGGACCACGAGCAGCCGCGGCGCGTCTCCCTGCCGCAGCGAGCCACCGACCACGATCACCTCGCGGGTGGTGCCGGTCAAGAAGCGTCCCGCACCGCCGCCCCCTTTGCCGGCATCCCCGCCACCGAGCACCCAACCGCGGTCGGCTGGCGTCCTGCTGGTGTCCGAGGGCACGCCGTTGGTGGCCACTGGAAAGGGCGGTGGCAAGCGAGAGGGCGGCCCCACGCACTCGCGGCAGAGCTCCGACTCGAGCGGCTACCACGAGGCGTCGGTTCTGAGCGACCTCCCGGACACGCCGTCTCCGGAGGCGGCCATCGGAAGGCCACCCTCCAACGGTGGGTTGCGTTGCTTGCCCTTCCGGTGCGGTGCCTGCTGTGCTGGCCTGTTACCTTGTTTCTGGTTCCTTGATTTTCACATGATGACATCACGCTTACGTCATTCTGTTGCCGTTATTCTGGTGATGACACGGCAGCAAAGACAAACACGGTGACGCCTGTCCCACTGTAGGTGGCTCTCCTGCGCGAAAGTTTGGGCAAACTTCGGCCACCTGGAGTGGAGTTAGGAACTTAGGATGGTGCGATCAGAGAGACGCTGGAATTCGCTCTTGCGCTTTGCCGGAACCCACATGGGTAACCAGCAGGAGTGCGACACGCCGACTCTTGTGAAGTGATTGGTTACCATTTCGAGATTGCTTTCAATACATAGGTGAAATGGGATCTGCTAAACAGGCAAATCGAAGGCTCATTTAGTTGCCACGTTTTGGTCAGATTACCATCTTTCTTTTGGATTTTTGATCATTGAAGTGGAACCCTTTGTGCCTAGTCCGATATGTGTCCAGGACGTCAAACGGAAAGAAAAGGTTTGAACACGAGCGTTTTGGCGAGAAGCATAACCTTTTTGAGCATAATTTTTGCTATAGTAGTTGTGTTTTGTTTGGCAACTATGATTGATAGAAGTAATTTTTGAGCCATCAAATGCAAGCAGACAGTATATCTTCGAATTTAAAAATGCATATTTCTACATAAATATTACATCAACAAATTTTTATTGCAGAATGTGTTTTAGGGCTGGATTCCAGGCCTAGAATGTCACAAAATGTTGTAACAAAAAAATTATAGCACGGCCAGTTGTCTCTACAAAAGACTGTGTTCCCCAGCGGGAATCGAACCATTTACCCCTTTCTCTGTAATCTGATGCCCTATCTCCTGCAGTAGGGAAGCAGCTTTGGTTAGCATGGCTACGGTTTGAACGCATGTAGCCATGTTTCCGCAAAAGCTTTGTCACTATAACAGCGGTGGGAGCCTTAAACACGCCGCCCTAAAGACCCATTTGATAGAATTCACGCCTCACGTTTCTTACAAGGTCCGGCAGTCATTGTTGGGCAGACGCACGAGACATGTGGCGCGAGCGAGTGCTGCACGACTGTTCTTCCAAGGGCCGCATATTGGGCACGTGACTCTTGCATTGGTGCATCTGTTGCTGCTTGTAAGGCAAACACAAACACAACCAAGTGCTTTAGGTGCACCTTCTGTGTGTGCCTTGTTCGTAAAATTAAGTGCATTAAATTTGTTTGTTTTTTGTGGGGCAATTATGCATTTTTGCATTTTGTTGTTAGCCTATCAAGACAGTTTTTAAAGAAATGTTCTTTAAGTGCGCAATGTCTCTTTAAGCATGCTATTTTTTCCTCATGATTACAGATGGCACGCTCAATTCATCTGCAGTGGTGGCGAGACGCAAGAGCCCCCCTCGGAGTCTGGTGCTGTCGAGCAGCACTTCCAATGTGGCAGCCACTGGCCCAAGTGGTCGGACAACACGTGCACGCAGCATCAACCTGGAGGGTGCCCCCATTGGTCCGGGCAGAAAGCGCAAGGCCCCTCCCCCTCCACCCCTGACGCTCGCTTCCGGCGCAGAGTCCAAGAAGGACGGTCTCCAAGGTGAGGCGAGACACAACCGTATTCAGTCTCCGGACTTAGCAGAGTGTATGTAAACATACTGAATTAAAATTAACTGTTGGGCTAGTTGGTGACACATCTTAATTACAAAAGTGCAAAGGAGAAGGACAGAACTGTCCTTCTCCTTGTTCTTTGCGCTTTTGTAATTAAGATGTATGTAAACAGACCGTACCATGTCGACCCCGAATATTTGAGCTCCTTTTATTAAGAGGAATAGCATGCCTGTTTTCCCCGTAGCGAATCACTGCGGTACTGCAAAAGGAACCCAGCAAATGGCACATTACAAGTAGTGGACACCGACCTGGACTTTGACACTACAAATGCTGTAATTTGTAGTCCCGGCCAATCCAGGATTTAGTTCCGGTTATGAGCCCGAGCTTGGCCCACCCTATTGATTTTATTTGCGACTTCAACCCCATCTTCCCCCACACAATCTGTACCAAAATATTCAAAAAGAATGCAGCCCTTTGTCAAATGCCCATGCTATGTAGGATGATTGGTAGTAGGGCAGCTAATCGCATCAGATTGTCACAGCCTGACTGGCGAACGGGTAACTTGGACATGTATAACGAGACAAACAATTAAACAAGGGAAATATTAACTGAACGGTTCATGGAGGCAGAGTCACCAAGTGCTTCTCTGCAAAAAAGGACAAGTTAGAAGAGCGACTATGCTGGCAGTCTTGCAGGGTCACAAGGTTCAAAACCGTGTTGGGCAAGACAGTCGAAGAGAATAATTAAGATAGGTTACTACATACCTGCTTCAGAAAGTATTTAGCATACTACTCAAGTTACTTTCACCGCAAAATACCTTGAATAGAGTACAAGTACTTAGAAATGTAGTTCAATTACTACTTCGAACCAACCCTTCCGCATTCCGTAATTCTGTAAAAGTGACGAAGAAGAAAACTTGCGTCTCCTTTTGGTGTCCCCTTCTTCGTTCCTTCTGTTTGTTTTTTTGTTTGCATTCTGAATCTGCATCTTTGGTTATGGCTTATTTCTTGTTCTGTTTCGGTTGTTTCCACTCAAAGTTCGCAATTGATTCAGTCGATCCCCATTCCCATGAAAAATTCCAGCCACAAATTCCTTCAAATGTTGAAATATGTATTTGAGATAATCAGTATAAAGTCGCCGACCGATTTTTCATACTTCGCAGGGACTGGAAAAACGTCGGAATAATAGTGCAGTCCGAAAAATCAGCAGATTAAAAAACTTGTTACGTATAAGCAGGCTTAAAAAAAGCCGTAAATGGTGCCTTGCTTCAAGTTACGCTTTGTGAGCCTTGGTTCAGGTTAGGCCACCGTTTGCATTAAGCAACTGTCTACTATTAGCTTGAGAATTGCTACCTTCTTTTCTAGTGTTATGGTCGAGTACTTTCTGTGCTTCGTAGCGAGACATCGCGGCAGTGGGAGAACAAACGGGACAATGACGTCCAAGCCAGCATAGTTTGAAAACATGATTCACCGAGACGAGATCGAGGCGAGAGGCGCAAGTCCACTACTGCAATGGCTAATGAACAAAGCGAAATGGCAAAATGGTGACAACAATGATTATTTCAATAACGCCAGCTGGAGAAAAAAAGAAGCCGTAGTGCGTCACCTAGTGGTTGAACTTAGCAGTGCTGAACTAGCGCTGCCAAACTAAGCCAATCCATGAGCAGCTAACATAGAATCCAAAATGGCCACTTCTCGGTGGTGTTTCCCGCTGATCACTTGCAACGATTTCGTCCAAAAATATTTACCATTCGGACTTCAAGCTGTCCGAAACATCGGTTGTGAATATGCACTAGGGTATTTCTATCGGGTAGCTCACGATTCCTCCTTTTGGTCCGAAATATCGAACAAGTCCGAATTATCGGTGTCCGAAAAATCGGTCGGCGACTACAAGATAGTGAGAAATGTAATTATTTTCAAAAGTCCGCGCCATCGCCTGTCCGCCATTGCTTGCTCGCCTACCCTGAGCATGTATTGGACACGAGCGCTAACGTCAGCATTCGGCGAGGACTCGGATCCAATCACGTGCTTCGTGTCCAAGCAATGGCGACTGTTAGTGTTGCTCGATGGACTTTTGAAAAAAGTTTATATAGCAAATACTCTCAATCAAAATTATTTGCGAGATACCCAAACACTGCCAGAAGTATCGGAAATACAGTATTTGAGTAGAGTAGTTGAGATAGGTACATATCTGGTTAGAAACCAAAGAAAGCATGAAAAATGCAGTAACAAAACAAGGGCATAACACACTTGCTTGTCTTCAGACGTTCCCATCTTTCCAGCATCTGCAATCATGTCGTTTAACTACCCAAGGGAAACTTTGAGAATTGAAGGTTACAAAATATGGGGGTAGGAGAACATTGTTGTCTCTTGTTAAGATAGAAGCTTGGGCGAGTTGGTTATCCCTATTTAAAAACAAATGCCGAGAAGGATGAACACATACAGAAAGAATGCAGTGCAGCATGCATGAACTTGCAAACTGACACCTACTAGTATAAATACCAGAGGCTTCAAGTCCGACACATAAGATTGTTGATGGTAGAGAGGCATCTTTTGTGGCTCATGTGGTGTAGTGTTTTTTTGTCCTGTACTAGGTGTCACAATGTTTAAACTTTAGCTGAAAGTCGTCTCTATATTGTGTATCGTCTGCTCGTGCTCACCTTTTATACCATACATATTAAAAATGGAGTTGCCCTTCTCAAGTGGATTGCCCTTGTTTTCCCATCCGTTGCCCGAAAATTCTTGTTTTTCTTTCTTAAACTGTTGGGGGAATAGGTCCACGATTAAAATATTAAAAAAGTGAAAACTAGATGCTGACAAAGCAAACAATTAACACGCATGTCTAGCTTTTTCATTCGCTTTGGTGATCGAGTACTCACTATGCTGACTTTACTAAGTCAGCTGAACACGCACCCTTCAAAGTGTTGCTAAAACAGAAACAGCAGTGCAGCACTGCCAAGAACAACATGGTAGAATAACCAAATGTTTATACTAACCGCTAATTTCAAAACCAACTGGTTCCCAGTGTAAGTAGTTTTTCCTGCATGTTCTTAAGGGGGTACTGAATAGAAACTTCAAATATACCTCTCACTTTCAGAAATAAGTTAAACATGATCAAATCTATCTGCTAATGACAATCGCATGCTTGTATTTCAGACGGATGGCTGTATTTTTTGTTCTAAATGTTAGATTTTGGTGAGCGCTTCAAAATCGGCCAATGAAAAGCGCGGTGCATCTCACTAAATTCATCATGCCTGGAACTTGCCCGCGACGTCACGGGCCTCCCTAGGACCAAGCATACCATAGTTATGAGTGTTGACACTTGGCGGCATCAACGTGCTACTACCTCGCTTAGTCAGAGTGCCCAAGAACTGTAACATACCGTATTTAGTCGAGTAATAGCCGCACTGTTTATGAAGAAAATCTGAGGGTTCGCTTTTCCGCGGGGCATGCGGCTTGCCAATCACTGCGATGGGCAGCATGATTCCAACGGTTTACAGCAGAGAGATAACGTCTTCACACAAAGATATTATCTGTGAAGATTGCATTTGTATGGAGAATCATGTTCTCGATCTTGTTATTCGCTATGTTATTTATGCGCTACGCGATCATTGGCTGAATAGGTGTTCTGCGGGAAAGCAGACAGAATGGCTTTGTTCATAAATAGTGCGGTTATTACTCGAGTAAATACAGTATTACCAGGAGATTGCAGAGCCGGCGGAGTTGTGCGTGCTACAACAACACGTAGTGCGTTGTGTGCTCCGCGACTTGGCCAACATGGCGACATCGGCAACGTCGGTTTCGGACGCGAGCTCGCTGCTCTTTGAACGGGACGACATTGTTGCGAGGCGGCTAAGGTATATCTGTTATCTCGCACGAGGCGAGATGCTCGTAGGTTTCCTACCTCACATTTTCCAAGGTGACTGCAAGATCATATGTAACATTGGTAGGACGAGGCAGATGCTGTCTACCTGGATTACCACCAACTGATCATGACGACCAGACTCCGGGAGGGTGCCAGCTTCACAGATAAACAAATATTGCTTTGAAGGCGCCATACCAGTGGGCATGCTTAATTTATTAAAGCAAGCAGGAAAGCAAGGCAAGTACGGGGCGGTGGCATCACTCGAGTATTTTCATGCCGCGTATCACATCGATGGCGGTGTGACTGCAGCATTGTCACGCCACCGTGAAGAAACGAGTACACCACGACGATTTTGCAACATTCCTTGCCATAAGTGCTAACACTAAGCAAGCGAAAAGAGGGCATCGGAGTAGAGGAAGCTTGGTGCTGGTCTCGATGGGACGCTATTGTCTATGCGAAGGAACAGCTAGAGCAAAGAGAACACGACTGTACAATTCTCACATTGCACATAAAAACTACTACGAAAAAATGCTCACGTCGCCACTATTGTCTCAATGGAGAACACTAAACAAACGAAGAGAAGCCATCGGCACCGCTTTCGTCGGTCTCGTTGAGCGAGGCTTGTGCGATCGTCCAAGCGGGGGCACTTGGCACATTGACGGCGAGTAAGTTGGATGGCGAGATGATCGCTGAATTCTCACACTGTAGTGCAGAAACTACAGCACACAAATGCGAATACCGGAACAGCACTGTGACGTAAACCCGGGTCACTTCGAGAGGCTGGCGTCCCTTGGCGAGAATGACGTTGAAAAAGATTTTTCATCAAGCCCTAACGCCGGTAACAACAAAGAATGATTGGAAGCGATTGGCTAGCATATTTGAATCCAATTTCGCCAACTTTGCTTTGACTTTCTTTACCAAACCTTCGGTTTTACATTCTGGCCTAGGTAATCTATACCAGTGAGTGTACTTCTCGTATAGTGGCGCTGCCGTCGGAGGCCGATGCCGTCACAACATTTTATTGACCGAAGCTTCATAACCAACAACCATGTGGTTTTTGGTTATCGTTTAGTTCAGTTTAAAATCTGTTTTCTTGCATTTTTCAACAAAATATTGATGCTTCTTTTACTGCTACCTGCAATATGTTGAAGCAAAGCAATATGCTCCAGAATTTGGTTTCTGTACTGCTTTAAGGCTTTGCTATCTTTGGTACAGTACCAATGATCTTGTGAAAGAATTTTTTTTTAATGTGTTTGCCTCATAGCAGTTTTACAAGTTGAAAACAACTCTGATTTTGCAAAATTTCCCTCCTCTTGAAACATTTTTATTACCTGGATGCTCAAGAGACCTCACTCGTTCAGAAACGTGTGATATATATAGCCGTGCATTCTTGGTCATGGCCAACGCCCAATCGAAAGAGAGTGGATCGGCGCTTGCAGTTGCAGACACTAATCGAAGATCAAGATACCTCCTACAAGCTGCTGACTTCATATTTTTTGCAAAGTGCCTGTTCTTGGGTGGCAATATGTCTAAGGTGCGGTCCTGTAAAATTTCTTCACCTTTTCTTTTTAATTTACATCTAGTATTCTTAGGGCCCAGGGGGATTATAGAGGGGAGGGGCAAAAACAAAACAAAATAGTGCAAGGCGCAAACAAGATTAGGTAATGCCGGTGTACTATGAAGACGTGAGCAGTCAAGGTTTATGTTCACAAAAATGGCTGGTTATCACATTTTTAGGTGAATTGACTGGTGATATTGACACTAACAACATGTGAAACTGGTTCCATTTAGGTTGTGTTCTTGGTATAAAAGATCTTGTTGATGTGGCCTGTGATGCCACAGTGATAAAATCCAACTTTGAATTAATGGCCAGTGCAAGAGGAACTATGTGGAGGAGGAATTCTCCATTCTCCAAAATATTTGCAGTAGCCGGGTCTCCCAGAGATTTGGAACATTTGTAACAATTGCCTTTTTGCTGCCTGCATTACAGCTGAAGATCCGGGCCTGAGGGAAGGAACGGCATCGGAGCGGATCAAAGATGCAGCTGCTTCGCCCGAGCGACGAGAGAAAGGTGAAACAATGTATTCTTGGGACTCCGTGGTGCCTCCTCCACCGCATTTCTCGGGTGCCGTCGCGCTCAGCTCCTCAACAGACACCACGTCCACTAACCGAACGTCCAGCCCCGAGCCAGGGCCACTAACCCCGTCTTCGTGGCTCCACAGACAAGGTAGCTGCGGGTTTTCAGGGGCTCCAGTCTTTCCTGTTGCTGTGCTCTGTTGGTCTTAAAGATAGGCTTAGCGATGCCCACAACTGAAACAGATTTTTCAAGATACCCAACATTTTATGGCTTCACAGCAAAAACTTGTTACCTCAAACCCCAAACTCGCACCCCAAACTATTCACACCCCAAGCTCACCCCAAGCTTGCATGACAAACCATTACACCCCAAACTCGCAGCCCAGACTTGCACCCCAAACTCACAACCCGAACTCGCAGCCCAACTTTCCACCCCAATCCCCAGTCTAACACTCCAAACCAGAAACTCTGTACTCCAAACTCGCACCGCAAACCCCAACTTGCATCCTAAACTTCATGGCTCCACGGACAAGGTGTTTGTGTGGGTCTTCGTGAACTCCGCTCTTCCCTCTTGCTGCTCCTTGTTGGCCTTAAGGCCGTGCTGAAAGATGCCTGCAACTAAAGACAAGTTTTTCGAGGAACCGCAATGGCTATACCCTTTGTGATGGATGGTAGCTTGTGCCACCTAGCTTAAGTCTAAGTCTATAGCCTAATTCTTCATATGCACAGTATACCGCTTTGTGGCCAACATCTCTCTCTACCTTTGTTTTATTCAAGCTTGAAAGCAGGTCTTAGGAGGATGGCTTCAATATTTCATAAAGATCTATTCCTGGAGAGTAAGCTTGGTTTGTTAGCACTCGTCAGCTACAATTTCGGATACTTCTATTCCGAGTTCCGCATTGAGCGTCCGTCACGTTTGTGCTTTCTCTAGACTTTCTTCAAGCTTCGTATCACACACGAAAGCAACAGGAATGGAAAAACGAAAAGCTCATGTGAGCGGTGGCACTACCGTATGTGCCTTTGACAGGTCCGTTCTGCATAACTGAGCAGTTCTGTAGTCGATTAACCCCAATCTTTGGTTAAGTTTTATACCTGTTGTTGGTTTCCCTTGAGTTTCTTTTCCTTATCTCCCCCATGAATTATTTTGATGGAGAATCCAGCAGTTTTCTTATGAATGCTAGCTTTTGTAGAACTATATGCGGAGTGCAACTATGTCTACTTCTTTTGCAGGGGTTGTGGTGATGTCAGAATGCCGAGCTCTGATTGGCTCTGATTGAAGGATAGTGGGTAGACCTCCAAGCAAGCTGTCTTGAGGTCTACCCACTATCCTTCAATCAGAGCCAATCAGAGCTCGACATTCTGACATCACCACAACCCCTGCAAAAGAAGCAGACAAACTTGCACTCCTCGTAGAGTGTTGCAACGTGAGAATTGGTAGGAAAGTGAGAAATCGTGCATGGCCCAGGGCCTACAGTAAGGTGCTGGCAACAACGACGAAGTGTCTTAGAGCCCACTTCCGCGGTTTTTGTCGGAACGACTTGACCGTAAAATTTTTACCGCTTTTGCCCAGAATTTCGCCAGTTTGAATAAAATGTTGCTGTAGTCGCCGACAAGATGAGGACGGCGTCTCTTCAAAACGCCCGGCCCCCAGCATGTACCGGTCGCTTCTCACCGTGCCTTGGTTGCACGCGCACGCTTGCGGCTTGGGCTGTGCATGCACGCTTGAGGCGCTTGAGATGTCGAGGCACTGTCGAAGGTAGAAGCTCACACCGAAGGCGGGACAACCGAAAGACCTCCCTGTCGTTTTCGTCTTGTCTGCAACTATAACTACCTTGCCGTTGTAGAAATAGGACATTTTGCCGGCTCTTTGGGATAGTTGAGTGGTTGAACCGAAGACACAAAGGAAGTGGTTTCGGCTCTAACAACGAAATTTCTTTTCAGATGACAAGGCGGACGTGTACGTTCCCCCCTCGCACATCAGTACCCTGTCGAGTGCCGCAGAAGACGCTTACTCGACCGGTGTTTCGGAAAGTCTCTCCTGGGAGTATGCCATTCCCGAACCACCTTCCCCATTTCGAACCCATGTGCCTTGCGAGTTGGACGATCGCCGAATTAAAGAAGGAGGCAAGGATGCGGTGACCGATGGGCCGGTTTCGCCTTTGCAAGCAGTGGCCAAAGATACATTGTCTTCGGACGACCTGGAAGACGACGGCAGCCTCGTCGACTCTGGACTTGTCGAAAACTTCCATGAGGACCTGAACGAACCGGAAGCTGACAGCCAAGGGGCTGTGAGCTGCTTGCAAGACAAGCCATCTCTTACATCCTCGCCAGTTCACACGGCTGGCACGATGGTAGAACTCGTGCCTTCAGTAGCCGAACAGGTTTCTACGGAAGAGATTGTTGTCTCTGCCAACTCCGACGACAGGAGTGCCATTGAGAGTGTGGAGCATGTACAGGACGTAGCCCACATAGATCACGTAGACTCTGCTAAGCATAGTTCGACCCCACCTGTTGTCACTTCAAGGACGATTGTGACGACTCAGCAATCGCCCGACGACTCTGCACGCGAGCACGATACAAAGACGACAGTAACGCAGGCTGGAGAGCGACAGGAAATTAAAAGGGAAGTCCCGGAAGCAACAGCGGAGCAGAATCTAGAAAAGACTGCCGACGTTACTGTGACGATTAAGACGGTAGTACCGGAGGAGGCTGATGCCAAGGCCAAGATGTCTCCGGTGGTATTAGATAGCGTGCAAGCCCAGACAGTCACCATTTCATCGCGATCAACCTCCGAGATAGCCGTCCCTCGCCAAAAGTCATCTCTGAAAGAAGAAGAACCAAGCCCGGCCATTGACACTATGCCACTAACTGCTTCGGTGATACGAAAAGACCTAGTGAAGCTTAGCTCCTTCCCCAGTGCCACCGAGACCAAGATTGAGCATTTGGAGCATGTGCCTGCTGTCAGTACAACTTCTGTGCGGAGCGAAAGTCGCTCCGAAGCATCCATTATCGAATCGGAGGCCCGCGAGAGTGGCAAGCGTGGAAATGAGCCTGTTGTACGAAGCCGCAGCATAAACTATGGCCCCGTTGCATTCTCTATTGGCTCCTACGGATCGTACAAGACAGAAGCCGTGGAGGACATCTTCGGCGGGGATCCGGCTAAGGAACGCGTTGAGAGGTTCAAGAATATCAAGGTTGCCGGGTCCGCTAAAGCCAGCACAGTAATGGCTGCAGACGTCCATACTTCTGTGGCCTCCAAAACAGTGGCGGCTCCCATTGCAGCCACCGTGACAAAAGTTAGCGCCAACAATGGCAGTGCCAACAAGGATGCCGGTGCAGGTTTCACAGTGAAGATTGGCGAGAAGAAGAGTTTTGGCAACAGCGAAGTCGCCGACCAAACTAGAAAGCAGTCCATGTCCGTCATCGATCTTCGGCAGCCGCAGACTGCTGTCCCGGCTGAAACTTCGAGAGAGGCAGTGGATGCTCAGTTTGTAGAAGAGAAGGAGAATCTGTTGAGCGAGTATGCCAAGCTCCAGCAGCAATTTGTTGCCTGGCAGCAGCAGCTGGCATCTAACCAGAACCTCCTCGAGGACAAAAAGATTGTTCCGAGCGTGGCAACGGCAACGGCTGCCACCTCAGCGTCGCAGAAGACTCCCACGGTCAGCGACAAAAAAACTGTGAATGGTCCGCACGACGTCCGAACATTCACTCTTCCTCGGACAAAACCGGTTCGTCCTCACACGCACGTGGTTCAAGAGGACGGGCGCACCTTCTCGCGTCAGATTTCCGTCAATACCCCTGTAGTCAGCTTCGGTTCGTGGGGCGAGCGTAGGGAGGACCAACAGCAGCCGGGCGCAGCACCAAGCAACAACAGTGGCAAGCCGCTGAACGTGTGGAAGAACAGTAGTGCTAGTACGGCACAGTCAGGATCCACGTCTCTGCATCCTCTCCCTGCCAGGCAAGACAGCAACGATGGCAAATCCAGGACAGCCAAGAAACCAGCGGGTATCCTCTACGCAGCGCCCGTCGTGCGCGGCTTTTCTCAAGAAGCCATTGAGAAGCTCTCGCAGGAAGTCTGCTCGGTGGAAAGACCTGAACCGAGACAAGCCGCCGCTCCAAGGAGGAACTCGGAGTCCGGAAACCAGGTCACGGCGACGAAAAGGAGCAGCTCCCAAGAAAACCTTGCTGCGCCTACCATCCCACCAAAGTCAGTCGCGCGGCCCCTTTCGGTTCATGTTACGTCGCTGAGAGACTTGGAGCACACGACGTCTACACTGGAGCGGATATCGGCCTGGGACCGCCGTTCTTCGCAGAGCGACGCAGTCGTCAAGCTCGCCAAGAAACCCAGCGGGACGTCGTCGTCCACATCGTCGTTACCGTCACCGGATTCTCTGGGTAACAACAAGCCGAGCGTGGTTCAGGCCACGTTAAAGTCCGGTGTGGTTACCACAACGGCTGCGGTGGCGCCTCTGGCACCACCACTGCCTTTTCCATCTGCGAAGTTAAACGGGCACGCCCAGACGAACAGTTACGAGGTGGACGGACACCCGAAAAGTGTTAGCAGAAATTTTAAGGGGAGAGAGCCCAAGGTGCAAGCGGAGAAGGTGACCCATGTGACGGTGAAACCGGCGGTGGCACCCAAAGTCCACGCAGCTCCGAGGAAGGCGCAGGTCGCCACGGTAGACCCTCGGGACGTGCTCATGGACGAGATTCGCAACTTTGGCGGGAAACGAGCTCTTAAAAAGGTGGGTAGTTTTTTTCTTAGCTCTGCGACTTTCTTTGGATTGTAATCATTGTTTTTTTGCAAAAAAAAAAAAAAAATCGGACTTTTTTTTTTTTTTTTTTTTTCAGAATGTGCTATAGGGTTAGGTTGCGTGAGAGAAATGACACGTCATGGTCAACCGACACATAGATCAAAGTCATATAAGCTACTGGAGCGTCACACCGTAACATTACGTGAAACCGTGACATCCTGATCTCACGTGATATTTTGACATTGTGCGATATCATAAAGTAACATGATGTCACAGTGCTATGTTGTGTCATGATGTCATGTGACTTGAGTCATGAGTCATGAGTCACGTACTTCATGATGTCTCTTGCACATACACACAGCATGTGCCGGGCTCGTTCACAACGCATTCTGTGCATCTCCGAGTTTATCGAATAGGATCAACACATGCTTTCCTTGAGGAACCTTTAGCTACTTTGAAATGGGTACTTTCTGCTCTGTTTAGCACTCTTGTGTGAGTGCTGTTCTGAGACTTGTGAATCCTTTTTATTGCTTTGATGCAGGACACAGCAAATATGTGGAATGCAAGATATTGTGTTGTACATGTTTAGTGAGAAAGATGAAATAACCTGACTGTGTCAAATAGACCAGCACGTAGCTCTATCATGCGGAAAGTAGTCATAAGTTGCAAATGATTGGTTATTTAGGGGTAGGTGATTAAAACAAAATTCAAAAATTTCTGGAATCATAGTAGCCCATAGCCGGTGACAGGTCAAGGACGAAGTGAAAGCTCGTCTCACCTCTTTCCGCTTTAGTAGAGCGAACGCTGGAGAGGAGGCGACCTCCTCTTCACCGTTCGCTCTGCTGAAGTGGAAAGGGGTGACAGGAGCTTCCACTTCGTTTTTGACCTGTCACCGACTATAGTTTGAGAACCAGTGAACTGGCTCAACATAGCCTTACGAAAGCAAGGAGCAGCCTCTAAAATGGGCAGATTCTTTGTCTCATGCTTTCTCAGGCTGATATTAGAAAGTATCGGTCGTAAAAAGTTTTGAGGGGAACATTTCATATTTACTAAGCTTATACTTTACAAAGAAATGAGCATGCAGTCTCTGCAAGCTTTGTGAGGAAATGGTGTTGTTGAATTGGTCATGTTAAGGGGAGCTAGCATATTCAATGTCATGTCACATGGTACAGGACACTCCAATGCCAAAATGATTTGTTTGTTTTATGTTTGTTTTTTCTGTGCGTCTGTGCATCTGTGCTGCTTGCAGAATCTCTGAGCTTGTTTACTATATTTGCACAGAAATAAGAAAACCTTCTTATAATCTTGACCATCTGTTTCCCATGCAGCTCGTGGGGAGAGAATTCTTGATATTTATGAGAGGAGGCTAGCAAATGAGAAGGTGCGAGTAACGTTTGTGCTCAAAATGGCGACCTGCTTTTAGTTAGTATAGACCATTTGCTAAATCCTTCAAGCATCCCCATCCTGCACTCGAAGAATCATGGAAACGGTGTTCCTTCAGCTCCCTAGTGATCGGTAATTTTGACCAATCCCATGGTTAGACAGCTTTGAGTGTTATTCGGAGTCACCCTGAACATGCCTAGTATAGAGCCCAGGGACCTGTCATATCACATTTAAAATTTCTCGTCAATCAGCGTTTTTGATACTGTGCATGCGATTCACCTTTCAACCTGGCGGAGCTCCAGAAATCTCTTACAATATTCTCATTCTCGGGATTGTTGTTTTAGCAGGAATTGCTTAAAAAGCCGGGAATTCACAACAACCAAAACCAGTATTTAGTTTGGAGTCAGCGGGGCTGTTTATAGCTTCTTTAGCATTTCTAACGTAATATCAGTGTCTTTGGAGCCGTACGAGAATGATAGTAATGTAAGAGATTTCTACAGCTCAGCCAGGTTGAGAGATGGATCACATGCATAGTATTGAAAACGCTGACATTGACGAGAAATTTTAAAAGTGATATGACAGGCCCCTGGGCTCTATACAACGCTTGTTCAGTGTGATTCCGAATTACACTGAAAATTGTGTAACCATTGGATTGGTCAAAATTACCAATCACTAGGGATCTGAGGGTACACCGTTCCCATGATTCCTCGAGTGCAGGCCGGGGCGCTTGGGGGATTTCGCAAATGGTCTATTGGGCACAACCTTCACATGCCTAGATCACAAAATGTTGATTGCAAATGCGATCTAAACATCATTGCCTGTTTATCTTCTGCAAGTCTTTCAATGATTGGCTCTTCTCACGCAGTGCTGGAAGCAAGGTGTGCAGGCTTTGACCATTAGAAGGTTGTCTTTATTTTTGTGCAAATCTGGTATAGCTAGTAGGGGTGAAAATTGTGTTTCCTTTGTTTGCTTAACGCTTTCTGACTTGCAGTCAACTTGGCTTTATTTCTCTGCTAATTGTTTAACAACCACCATCGGGCATTACGGAATACCGTGTTATGAAATGCAGTATCTTCTTATGTTTATTTTTGTTTGGTTTTTTGTTTTTCGTCTACCCCCTCCTAAAGGTAATGGACGTGACTTAGACCTGGATTTCCAGAATAGCTGTGCACTTTGGGAAGTAAGTCATCGAGATACTATTGAAGACCTGCTTTTGCTTCGACGCATCCTGAGTCGTGTCAGGAGTGAGCTTTCTGCACTACCTTTTGACAAGCTAGTTACGCAATGCTTGTGGCTTCTTTTATAGTTTTGCCCTTGCAAACGGCTGTTGTGGTGAAATGAACGTAGGAAAACCTAGCTTGTCACTGATTTGTAAGCTTGTTATACATGTGGATCTTCTGACTTGTAATTGTATACAGACTACATTAAAGGAAACCACGAAAGGCAGTTTAGGCGGAAACTATTATTCCAACTTGATCAGAAGACGAGAACCTCCCAAAACACGCAGAAAATTTAAACTTACAGCTTCTTTAATTGACTGCTGTGGCTGTGTTTATTTAGGCTCGGTGGCCTCAAATCCCAGAACAGTTTTTTATTATTTATTTACTTATTTATTTTTAGTGACTGTCACTAATGAAGATCTCTAGTCCAGTTTTTGATAGCCTTGAAAATCTCCAGATTATAGGTCAGTGCTCACAAAAGGCCATTACCGACCTGGAAAAGATTTTCCTCTGTAACTTGCAGTCTGTTTAACCTTTAAGAACTTGGTATACTTATAACAGGGCAGGATAAAAAAGCTTTTTGTCTTGTCCATTGGTCTTGTATGTTTTTTTTTGTGTTTGTTTTTGCTTTCTAAAAGTATTTTTAAAATTTTTTTTATTAACAATATTGCCCACTACCTGTACGGTGGCCAAGGCAAGGGCCACTGACAGCCTATGCAAACAAGAAAAATGAATTAGCGCGGAAAAGTCGCTAAAAATCTTGCTAATATGCCATTGCACATAAATTTTTAACTTTTTTTCTTTATGTAAACAGGCATTGAAGAGGCAGTTCTTATTAAGTATGCACAATAAGACGAAAAAGTACATGCAGCTAAAGCATTGCACAGGTTCTCGGTTGCGGGTGTGTTTGGACCATTTTTCGGGTCTACTTTACAGTGATGTTGGAAAAATGAACTCATTGTTTCTGTTATTACTTTCGATATTACTTCATTATAACAAGGTTCAGCTATCTATGTTGTCTGCATTGGAATTTTAGTTTTGGATCAGTTATGTCTGATAGAGTAGCGGGGTTGAAATTGTCAAAACATAGTACATCCTTTGGCCCTAACCTGGAATGCAAAGTAAGGTGCTTTTTGTATTACTCCAATATATTGTTGCTGACATATATTTTTTGTTTTAGCATTCAAACTACTGCTCTAATTAACATAAAAGCTTAAAGTATTTGTTTAAAAATGTATTTTAGATGGATGCCACGCCACTTACAGAATGTTGTTGTGTAAAGCCCTTTTTTTATTTCTCGATTTGAATTTTGTGTTTAATAGACGGCTTATGAGTTGGCTTGATATCTTGCATGCAATTTTGTCATGGCACTGCAATTTGTAATGTAGTTTGCCAAAACGGGTCTCGCTATTGGAGGGTAAACTGTTCTGCAATTGCATATCGACAAAGTTTTAAGATAAATTTTTTTTTGCTGATTTTGATTTAATGGCATTATTGCAATAAAGCAATGTAAAGTCTACAGATTTTGCAAACAGTAATGCACTTGGTAGGGGACTGTATGGCTCTTGGTTATGTTTAAATGCATGACTCAGGACTCAGACATGCTAATAGAGTTAAACTGGTGGGAAAATAATTTACTTTGGGGTAGGGACGACAAAGTGAACTTGGGGGCAAAGAATCCCGGTGGAGCACCTGAGTTCCAAGAAACCCAGCTTGATAATCCATGCAGCAGAAAAGCAGTTAATCTGAGTGTTGATATGCTTGTGCAGTAACAAGGGAAGTCAAAGTCATTGCATCATGGCCAGATGATGTGACCAATCTATTCATTATAAAACTTTGTAATCCTCCATTGAGGGCTTATGTGTAGACTGTAGAATGACCATACTTTTCAGAGTTGAAAATCGGACATCAAAGGGAAGGGCAGTGGGAGGGAAAGGGAAAGGGAGAGGGGGTGCAAAGCAAGACAGAAAAAAAATGCTCTGCTACTATCCAGCTTACCGGAAAAACGCACAGTTTTCTGGAGCTTTTCGTTGAATAGTTGAGTATCCGAGCACCTTTCTGACTCATTTTGCAAAATTCCAGGCATGCCAAATTCAGTGATATAAAAGTGTGCCCTCTACTCACGTCTTGCGAACGGAACATATTGGCAAGTGGAGTGAAAGAAAACGCAAAAAAAAATACTCTATTGGAGGTAACATAATTATACTACCTTAAAATCTCGTAAGGGCACCCTCTCCCGATAGATATCCCATCCCGTTTTTCTTGCTGAATATCTGTAACATAAAAATTCAGAAACATCGCCCGCCCCCCTTTCTTGTCGGACATCGCACGATGTGTGATGTTAAGCACATCAACTGTGTTGTCTACGGTACCGGTGCGTGTGCAATATTGGTTCCTGTGACATGAGAGTTCCCGCGTATTTTGTCCGCGACCTGCACGTGCGATATCAGCTCCTGTGGCACGCAAGTTTAGTCGATTACCATGTGTTTATTGCACTGTGAGACACGAATCTGCTGCGTCAGCAATCTGTGACATTGTTTCCCGTGACAGGGCAGTTTGTAGCAAATTCCCGCATGTTTATCGCCGTGTGAAACGCTAATTTGCTGTGCCCATGATCCGCGGTATCTGTTTCCGTATCACGTGGTTTGTAGCGGGTGCCCCTTCCGTTTGCCATCAACTTTTCAAAAAGATTTGCTGTCTCATTTTCAGTGATAGCCCACCTTATGTTTTTCACCGTCTATCTCTTTATTGGGGATTTTACGACATGTTTATTCACACAACTAATTTTTTTTTTTTTCATCCACTCGCCTGGTCTTGATTTTGAAAGCAGGTTTTCACAAAAACAAGACATCTGGCTATATTCAGACAAAATGACGGGATGGTAGAAATTAACTGCTAAAACGGGACTGTCTTGGCCATAACGGAATGTCTGGTCACCCTACTTATGTGACACACTCCTTTTTTGAAGGATGCTTGCACCTGGGCTGGTGCAGGGCTGTATAAAGAGATTGTTCGAATGATTAGTGAAACTGCTGCCATCCTAAAAAAGAAACATCATTGGCCGAGTGTGGAATGGCCGTAGCGCTTAGACAAATGTTCTAGCCAACCTCAACCTGTTGTATGAGAAAATTTTAGCCAAATTTCATTCTTCAGTTTTAGTGCTGCAAGGGTTTAAGTTCGTTAACTTTTTGGGGGGTCGTAAGCCATAGCTCGAAAGTTCTGAAACTTTCTTATAATATTGCTCCAGCCATGACCTAAACAACCCGTGACTGCAAGGGCCTTCAGCACTGCCGACTCTGTTACCAGCCAAGCCGGAATTCAATCTTGTTTTCAGCCTTTTGCCATCTTATAGTTTTGTCTGCGGGGGCATCCAAAATGATAGATGAACACTCAGGCTGGACAAATATGTGACTCTGCTGGTGCCTTGCTCTTCCCTTGGTCAGACACTCTTTTACATGGCTCTGGGCTAATGCTGTTGATGACTGCAGGAGGTGACCTTTGCAAACATTCCCGGATTCCTTTCCTTCTGTGAATATCAGTTAATGAAAATGATGGAAATTATGGTGACAATGCTTAAGCATGCATCACTATGCTCTCCACACTGCTTCAGGTTTGATCGTGACATGGACTGTTGGATTGTAGCGGCCATGACAAGACGTCATTTTTCTTTCGTCCCTTGCAGGTTTCTACGGAACCTGCGTGGCAGCTCAATATCTGCAACCTCCGTTCAGCATAGCAGTGCGCTCCTCCCGGCTCACCACAGTACCTCACTCCCTGCCCTTCCGGGAGCGTTCCTCAAACCTAGCACAGCTGTCTTTTACTAGTTTTGCCTACCTCCTCACTGAGGTGTCCGGAAAGCAATTGTTAATGCAGCAGCGCGCACACGCGGGCACGAGCCCGCGTACCTAGAAGACGAGGGCAGTCGGTTTTAAATGTGCCTCGTCGTGCCTTGATTGGGCGGGGTAGGTAGGTTTGACGTTTTGCACTCCCGTTGGCATTGCACATCGAGTCGTTTGCTCGTCGAGTTCTTTTTAGTCAAGGTCTGTCGAAGGGCACTTTGCAGCCTGGTAGATATATACATATATATAAATATATATATATACACGCACATATACACATGAGCCCGTCGAGGCTTCTCTTAGATGTCCCCCCTCGTCCAGGAAGTGATTGTCTTCCTTGCGTCTCGCAGCAGTGCTGCCGAGAAGAGTCGTTCGGCATTCCATTTTAGAGTTGTTTTGTACACTCTTTTTTTTTTTCTTCCCGGGTGTCCGGTTACGTGTGGGACCAATGAGAAGGGGGTTTTTCCTTTAGTTTTACGTCTTTTTTTAAGCTTTGAAGCTGATGCTTCGATGCGGTGTTGAGGGAGAGAAGCATTGAGAGTTGCGGAGCAAGTGCCATGTTAGCGAGGCAGGCTCTTTTTCCCCTTTCTTGTTTTGTTTTTAGTTTTGTTTGTTTTTTGTTGCAGAGAGTAGATGCTGCGGACAGTGTAAATATGCGTGCCACAGATCGGGGTGCCCTCTCGCGCTTCCTTGTAGCAGATGATTTCATAACGACGGAATGCTTCCTATTGAACAGATTTCAGATTAACGAGGATGTGGTTCTTTGTTTTTACCTCAGCGCCGTGGATGGGAGATGCTGGAAACAGCAGCCAAACAGCTCGTGGCAGCCAGTGTGGCAGTGTTGCCAGTCTTAGCTCTCGTATAAGTTCCGGGACTTTCAGTGAAAATTGCCCAGCTGGGCCGTCCTTGTTTGAATCCAGATACATATGACGGGGGGGAATGGAAGCTGTTGATAGCCAAGTGTTTCCAATGGCAAGCTTGACATTCACTTTGCAGGCGATCTCACCATTACTAAGGAGGTAAAAAGTTCTGAAATCCGTTCAAAACGTCACAACGGCCGCGACCTATTGCAGGAATGCAATGTCATCAGCGCTGCCAATTCTGCTCCATCCAATCTGACCCAATCAACTTTTCAGTCGTGTGGCATCTGTAATTGCAGTTTGCAGCCAATCAATTACAGGAAACTATAATTGATTGGCTGTTGCCGTGGCATCGTGCCTATCAGAGATGACTACCCGACGTGACACAATGTCACGTGTACCGTCGTGTCTGCCTGTTTGGTAAGCATCTCCCATTCATTCATTTAGCAAGCGTCTTAAGGCTACATCCCATCTAAATTGCTCACCTTGTTCAGTGAGTAGGCATTCAAGCAAGCCCAAAATATATATTGCCTTAAGATACATTAATCAACAAACGTCGAGAATGTTTTTACAGATTTCCACATACGTCCTCCTTCTCAGTGCCTCACATTCCAAGTTTCAGTGGCCAATATTCAGAAAGCAGTGCTATCTTCATCCGTCAAACGGAGCAAAAGGCTAATTTGAATCACGCAGACTCTCACTGTCACGTTGGAGGAACAGCTACCTGGTTTACGGCTTTGCCCTTCCACGGCGAGTTTATTTTATGCAAATTCTGCGGTGTGGTGGTGACCACGGCCTCGAGCACCTCGGTGTTGTGTCGGTGGGTCACCATCCCAGTTGTACATAGGAGTAAAGCGCCTGGCGAAGTGTCCCTGTGCTCCGTCGGGGCCTGGGTCGGGGTCTTTTAATGCAGGGCTTGTGTAACTGACTAGTATCCTAATTGCTCAAGAGGGGCGTCTAGCCAAGGTGTAACCAAGGTAAATGCGTTTTTAGGTGCCTTGTAGGAGGGTTTGCTTCGTTTATAAAAATAAAAATAAAATGAACAGCCCAGAGAAAGAGTAGAACGGACGCTGGGTCATGTTGAGCGGGTAAATGCGTGTCGAAGGGTCACTAATTTCTAGGTGGGAATTTGTGCAGTGTACAGTATTTATATTTTTTTTCGTGATTATTGCTGTACGTGCGCAAATACAAACAAACGCATGGCGCTGGTTGAAGGTTTTGTTGAAGAAATTAAAAGCCAGTTAACACATATCTCCTTCGGTGTCTGTGTGTTTCCTCTATTCTGTTCCTGCGGAGTTTACTGTTTGCTTGCACGCATATACATTTTCCATCTTTGAATCTTACTGCATATGATATATGTGATATACTCGGGTGAAAAGGGTAAGTAGTAATGTGTGAGTAGTGAATTTCGAGTTTGAAGCGAAGAGTGGTTTTGGTCGAATATTTTCGTATAGAGTATTGATTCGTCTCTCAGTCTTTCACTATCGTGCACAATGCTTAAACAAAAATTCAGCTGAAGTTTTGAAAGTTCCGGACCTTTCACTTGTCCACCTCTAAGGTCAGTTAATTTTAATACAACTATATGAACTGTAGCATGTAGACGACAGATTTGTCGCAGGTATCGTAATCGAGGGAAGTTATGAATCTGCTTACTATATGCAAATATTCTCTCGCTCTCAAATTTTAAATAAAGAAACAAAAAACATGATGAACGCGGACCGCCAGTACTGCTGCCCCGCAATACACAAGTGCTCGGTGAGAAGCGCACTCAACGGGGCTAACCCACCGCGATCAACTCTACGAAAAGCGCGACTATCGCAGTTCACCGCACCGCGAAGCGAATATTGAATAGCATAATGTTCGAAACTACTATTGGAATATTCTCACAACACGAGTAGAGAGAGAGAGAGACATGATACAGGCACAGAATGTAATCGACACCAATTCTTTTCTTAAGATTGAAATCGGACTCAAATTGTTGCGCAATCGTTTACGCTGCGGTAGCTTTAGGTTATAGCATCCTCGATCATCTGCACTGGTGCGTCGAAGTGCGCCCCGTCGTCTTCGATCGAGTGCACCGATGCGCACTGGACATCTTTGATCAACGCAGTGCACCCTCCCGGTTCGTTGTTTTCGTTGCTCCAACGCGCACCAAGATAATCGACGGTGCGCCAGGGTGCAGTCCTATCTGGCATTGCGGCCCGGAGCGGGTATCGAGAAGATTGCGAAATAGCAGACGCGCAGTCTTGAGATGGCGACCTTGCGAAAACGAACACTCCTCGCAGCGGCACTCGATTATTCCTGAGCTCTTGGACAGCGAGGACGACGAGTTTGTTTTCTTACCATCGCCGCGATTACCGGTGATTGCTGCGGTGGCAGCGAGCGCCCGAAAGTCACGAACTTCGTGGAGAGCGTTGTGAGGCGCTTCGATGACACCGAACTACAGCTATTATCTGGTGGTACTCTTTAATCAGCAATGATAAGCAAATATATATTTTTTCAGTCCCGAGAGCATTCTCGGGTAGCCCGGAACGTGTGCCACAAAGTGATAGCCATACCTCGGCAAACCTCACTCATGAGGGCCCTCACTCACCCTCACTCACCCTCATCTTTACAGGTGAGGTGAGGGTGAGTGAGTTTCTGAACCAGGAAAATTCATGAGTGTGAGGGTGAGTGAGGGCCGTGAGGGCGGTGAGGGCCGTGAGGGCCGTGAGGGCGGTGAGGGCGGTGAGGGCCGTGAGGGCGGTGAGGGCCGTGAGGGCCGTGAGGGCGGTGAGGGCCGTGAGGGCCGTGAGGGCCATGAGGGCCATGAGGGCGGGAAGGGGTATGAGGGCCATGAGTGCGTGAGGGGCATGAGGGCGGTGAGTGGCGTGAGGGCCATGAGTGCGTGAGTGGTGTGAGGGCGGTGAGTGCGTGAGGGGTGTGAGGGCCATGAGTGCGTGAGGGCAGTGAGTGGCATGAGAGGCGTGAGGGCCGTGAGGGCCCTGAGGGCGGTGAGTGCATGAGGTGAGGTGTGAGGGACGTGAGGCCCCCTTCAGATCGAGCATCTTCCTCAGCAATTTTGGAGTTAATGGCCGGGTTGTTCTCTAGCTTTCCCTAGATCGACACGAATTGCTGAGATCGGGTCCGGCTCGAAATAAGCAAGCAACTCGGAGCAATTCGAATACGTTTAAAGCGGCTGCATCCAATCAGGTACGCAAAATTTTCACGTGATACCTCGTGCCGGTGATGATGACACCGAAAGACTTGGTTCTGGTTTGAAATCGATCGTTTTTTGGAAATAAACTGTTTCAGAAAGGTGCATTAGTATTCTTAACAAGATTTAAATGCATAAAAACACGTTTTTAACGCGTAATTTTGTCTAAGTAGTGCAAGAAAAATAAAATTTTATGATGACGATGTCTAATTGCAGCAATTGGTTGCTGCGTGTGATCGCGGGCGGCCCGTATTGCTGGTGTTGAGACGTAAAGTTTCTGGGCGAAATTGCCCCATCTGAAACTGGCCTGAGTGGCGTGAGGGCCATCAGTGCGTGAGGGGCGTGAGGGGTGTGAGGGCCGCAAGGGCGGTGAGGGGCGTGAGGGCGGTGAGTGGCGTGAGGGCGGTGAGTGACGTGAGGGCCGTGAGGGCGGTGAGGGCCGTGAGGGCGGTGAGGGCGGTGAGTGGCGTGAGGGCTATGAATGCGTGAGGGCCGTGTGGGCGGTGAGGGCCGTGAGGGCGGTGAGGGCGGTGAGGGCCGTGAGGGCGGTGAGGGCCGTGAGGGCGGTGAGTGGCGTGAGGGCGGTGAGTGGCGTGAGGGCCATGAGTGAGTGAGGGGCGTGAGGGCCGTGAGGGCGGTGAGGGCCGTGAGGGCCGTGAGGGCCGTGAGGGCGGTGAGTGCGTGAGGGCCGCGAGGTTCAGTGAGGGTGAGTGAAGGGCTGAAGGTGAATGTGACTGTGAGGGTGAGGGTGAGTGAGGGGCTGAAGGTGAGTGTAGCTGTGAGGGTGAGGGTGAGTGAGGGGTTTAGGTGAGTGTGGCTGTGAGGGTGAGGGTGAGTGAGGGCGACCTAAAATGCCGACCTCTGGTGATAGCTGACAATAAGAATTCGGAGTTCTATCCTCATGGCCATGGTCCCTACCCTCGGAAGACAGCTGAAGAACATGTGCTTTCCTTCCTTTGGTGAGTACGTTAGGTCGGAAGGTTGCTGTCAATCTGAGCTTTGGATATGGCAGGGAAGTAAATATTTTTCAGGTTTGCTGGAAACAAAATAAGTAAGCGAGCCATCGCAGTGATATTACCGCGTGTAAATAGCTGAGTCAGCAGCGTGCTCGACTCCCACGCAGCTGGCATGTGGTTTGATCCCCGCCAGCGCTTGTACTTTTTATCTTTATTTTGTTTGCATGACTGGATTATTCTAGATGACTCTAGAATCTTGTTTGTTCTAGCCCGAAGTTTCTAAATGCCCACGAGCTTACAAAAGGAGTTTCGCATGGCTGCTTGAGGTAGTCGTCCTTCCGTCGCCGTCAAAGACCGTGCGAAATTCGAAAAGGTAAAGTAACCATTTTGCCCCTGTTCACGCTTCACTCGTTCATCTTCCTAAACCATGTTTTTTCTTTTTTTTTTTTTTGTGTGTGTGTGTGCGCGTTTTTTACCTTGTATTTTTTCCTTACTCTCCTCTTTTGCAAGCCTTCGTTTTTAAGCAGAGCTTTAGTGGAGCATGTCACTGTTACGAAAAGGGTAATGCAAAAGTACTGATCATAAATGAACCTCGGATTTCAGGCTTCCCTTATGTTTTCAGGTTTATGGATGACACCTATGTGGACACCAGATGCCCCGCTCATAAAATTATATCCACGTATACGAACAGACACAACTCCTACAGCATGCAAGCAATTTGTGATTCTGGTCGCAAGTCCCTTAATGTCTTTTTGGGCACAGGGGGAAAACTAGGCGTTCAGGCGGTCCTTTGTCTTGGACGACTTGCCACAAATCTGTAAGGGCGACAAGTATCATGTACTAGGAGGTGCAGCATATTCCCCAAGGGAGTACCTCCTAACTCTATTTAGGAACTATGGCAAACTCACGCCCGACAAGGTAAGCTACAACCTAAAGCTGAGCCAGACGCGTGTCCGAATAGAAAGCGCCTTTGGGCTACTGAAGAAACTCTTCAGGCAGATTTTATATCTTGAATATTCTGGAGCGTCGACAAGGCCACACAGTTTGTTCTAGAGTGTTGCGTGTTGCAGTATTTGTGTATCGATGCAGGAGACAGATATCTATATAGATGAGGAAGAAGTAAACAACACAAGCAAGGGTCGCAAGTCAGGCCCGGGTGGCGCTTGGGCTAAGGAAAACCCCAAAAGGGAGAAGCTACAAATACAACGGGGTGTCGCACGCAAAATTAACGACAGCAGACGAGGAGTAACTTGTAAGGTTGCTCTAGCGCGGGCCGACAGAGCTCGCCGAACGCTTCAGCCGGGAGAGGTCAGGTTTGGGTCAAGACGCAATCTCCGGCTGTCGCGAGGAACGAACAACCACCCGAGTACGCCTGGGCGGCTCTTTTTATATCCTTCCAAGGCCAGAAGTTTTTGGGGAAGACGCGTCCCGCTTTCCCTCGTGAGAGAGGGAGAGAGCGCGCGCGTAGATTAGATAACCTTCTGGCTCCATCTGTCGGCCCGTCAGTCAACCATTTATTCTAGTTTCGTTTTCAACGTTACAAATATCCCCCGTCAAAAAGGGCTGAGTGCCCTCACTCAGACATACGGAACAAAACCCGTGAAGAGAAATCAGTGTTACACAAACGTTTGTCCACTGTGAACGAGACATCAAATTATCTGTGAGAAAAATCAGTAACACACAAAATCAGTCCGTTGCAACAGTTGATCCAGAAAAGGAAAGTCTGAGAAAAACTAGTAATACAAAAAGTCGCTCCACTGCAATCGGGTGGAAGCTCGGCGGTTTCGTTCGTTCGTCTCCTGATTAGAGCCTGTCTGTAGCTCACGAGCTGACCTAAGCACTGGCACTGACACAGGTTCCAGCACTGAGGCCGGCACTGGCACCGCTACGGCGTCGCTCACTTGGGAACGCCGAGGTTCCCCACACGCTTGGTCCTGGGTGAGGGTGTCTTGAGCATCGTGGAATTCCTCGGGAATGCCACGGTGGTCCCCTGTCGGACCGTCGGGTGTGTCTGTTTCCGTGGAGTCGTCGCTGCTAACTCGTTCGCTGTTCTCGTCACGCACCACGAAGGGCTTCATGCGATTCACATTCACCACGTC